ACACATATGATCGTGTCGATCTTCGGGGTTTTTAGATCCAGCTTTATATCGAAAATTATTGCCCTTCATAGCCATTAATTGAAAGAACCTCATGTTCCCTTGATTTTTGCCCCAGTGGAATGATCATTGAGGGCTCTACTGTAAAGCTTCCACATCCGCATTCGAAATTATATGAAGGCCTGGAAGCCAATAGAAAGCAAGCAAGATGATCGCAACTTCCGGTACCGGATCGCTCAATTGCATTCTGCGATGAGATTCTATAAGTGCTTTTTCTTTCGGATCTGGCTACCGTCGCCGAGCGGCACGTTTCCCGGTTGGCAGCGTGCAAGCATCATATAAATATCTCGTTTATCTCATACTCCCTTCGCACTAGCCCTAGCTCTCTCCGCTTGAACAGACCCAATGTACCGTCAAATGCAGTAACTCCGACGAACTTGTTGAGATCTCCTCTGTGACTGCTATCTAGACAACTACATTCTTTTTGATCGCTTCCCTTGTACTCAATACATAACGGAAGTAGATATCCACTAGTGTGCGCATGGGTTGGTGGAAAACTGCCACTGCCGAAGGTGAGCTTTGCAACGATCTTTCAATTGTTCGTGGGCTCTTCGAAACCCGACGATGAAATTTCAGATCTTGATGTTAATCAATTGGAGACTGAACAAGGGTTCATTACAGATATTTGGAAACTGGTACGTGTCATATTAGTCGCTGCATACACCGGTGATCATATCTACACAGTTATCTATCTGTTGACATATGATCCACGACGATTCAAACCTCTAGTCTATCAATCTTGTGTCTAAACAATGGGAAGCATTTCGTGCCAGGTGATCTGGCGATGTCTCAAAGATTCTCATAATGACAAGGATATTTCCGATGAGAAAACACTACATGCACCATTTGGGAGACTTCGGTTCATGACGTAATTCAAAAATATGCGTTGGATGACCTTGGGCAGCTGATAATTTGAATGAGAAAATCAGATCCTTACGCGCTCGACTCTTTGGGAGCTCATCTTATCTGATTTTTATTAAATCAAATCGAAGAGGGAAATCAGAGGGAGTCTTGTAGACGGACCTCCATGCTAATCAACGATGTAGATGCAAATACCCAGATCACAAGGCTAATAACCTACATTGTTTGTTATTCGATTGCAGGCCGAAACTTCGAAATAGCGGGCATAGAAGCGAAATATAGGGGTAGACGAAAACAAAAGCTCCTCTTTTGTCAAAGGAAAACAGGATTGTTGATAATATACTTAGAGTTCCAGTGATCTCTCAATGAATATCTCCCTCAATAGGAACTTTCCTTTAGGCAACCGAGGCCATCTATCAAGTGACAGTTCGACGTGCGGAATCCGAATCAAGAGACTGAATAAGAGCTTCCCAATGTGAAAATGGTTCGAAATTCAAGGTGAATTTAGCGCTCGAAACTGAGAAGGATTTAAATTATCTCATTTGATCAGAGTGAAAGTTCATGATCTTGCAATCGAAGTATAGACATTGAAACTCCTGCTGTATGGCAGATATATACTATACTTACCGTATAGCCCTGTATATCGAAATGACAAATTTCATATATATCGTTCATCAGAGATTGATTCTTCTAGCGATAGTCAGTAGATGGTGAGTGTAGATGTTCTTCAATCTCCTTTGAGATATAGCCACGGTGCATAGATTGCCTGGTATGGGTACAGTGCTGTGTTGTGCTGTTTGTATTTTGTACTGCTGATATAGCCAGTGATCCAGTCGAGTTAAAGATGTAAACAACAAGTGGTGATGATGCATATCTCCGTGTGGTATTATAGAAATTGAATTACTTACGCTTTACTGTAGAATTGGTCGAGACTAATTCTAATCGTTTACATGAAAGTTAGGTTGCTTACCTCGAAGTTGAGAGTGAATCACTTGGTTCGTGAATGAGATTCAAAGTTAATCTATACGAACTACTTTTGAATGTACTATTATACAACCGGAAGACTGTGGATAAACCCCACCATCCATATTCTACACAGTTCAATATATCTAGCAATCCTACAGCTAATATACGTAATACCCCTGTGATTCAACAGTACTATCCATATTTTCTGCGGGCAAACAGATATTGTAATTGTAATCATATGTTTACATCACTAGTGATATGAACCATGATCTTCCTGCCGTATAGTTGGAAAGTGTGGGTATAGGATTTCTTCGTAGCTGTTAGTTAGTCTGTCTTTATCTATTGTAATTAAACTTGTGATTGCGGGATTGAAGTTTAGGACCGGTTAATATTCTCTCTGTAAGATATAGAAACTCGAAAGACTCGAAACTTTCGCAGATCATTTCGATCAGAGCTGTATTTGATTTTCAATCTTTCCAAAATCCTTATACCCAAATCTCAAACCAAGATATCCACCCTATTCATTCTATCCACAAACCCAGAAACTCAGAAACTCAATCCAACAATCCATCCAAGATGTGTACAGAATACATTACCACCTACGCATGCTACCACCATAAAACTACAAGCCATGATTTATGTCGAAAATTACGAAGAGGTGAGTGTATGAGCACGGAGGAAATTTATAAGAATAGGAAGGAGATTTGTGAGTGGTGTAGGGAGAGGAGAAAGGTAGATTGTAGGAGGGAGAAGAAGGAGGAGGGGGAGGAGAGTGAGGAGGGTAGAAAAGGGGATGATGAGAGATTTGGTGAGGGGGAAGAAGGCAGGATAGATAGGGGAGGAGGAGTTTTAGGTGCTTTGGGATCTTTGAGGGACGAGAAACAAGAAATAGGCAAATTTCGGCGGAACGAAGATCTATTGAAGTGAGACCAGTGGGTACTTCTATACCTGGAACTAGATTCCAAGGATATATCAATCACTTGAGGTAATTAATTGCTAGACAAACACAAAACTGAAGTCATTCAGTATCTGTCTATCTATCAGTCTATCATCAAGACTAGACAAGGCAAGACAAACAGAGGAAGGAAGAAAGATGAGCGCACATAAGCCTATTTACTATGGGCCGATTCTCTTCATGTATCTAGACATTTATTTTTGAAGTTCTTTCTGGGTACTTTGAAGTAAGAGTGTTTTTCTCGCGTTTGAAAAGTGAATGGTGAACGGTGTATTGATGAATTCTAGTTTCAGAGTCGTGTTTATGTTGTGATTTTATCGTGGGTTAGTTTTCAAGTGTGGAAGTGTGGAAGGGTAGTAGATTTTATGTTCTCAACTCTCGAATGGTTATGTGGGTGCTTTTATGTAGTGTTTTGGGGGTTGTAAAGTTTTGTAGTTGTAATTCGATGAGCTCTTACTGGAATGATATTACGAATTCTTATAAAAGGGCTTCTCATCAAATGATCTTATTTAAACAGGTTACAACTGTTTCTTCTATTAATTAACTTACTGATCTTAATATCAAGATGATATTCCAGAGCGGGCGTTGTGCGAAAGGCAACTTTGAGAGAAGCTACACTGAGTATTGAGATTGCTACGTGTAAGCCATTATCATTATTATCAGGGCTACGAATCATCCTTTATATTTTCGGCACTCGCAAAATGTGTAAACTACAGGGTGATGACATGTTAGAAAGGAGGTTCTGAAATAACTCAATCTCTGAATAATTTGAGAGGTTCGTGAAAGATTGTGATTTCGCAGACTGTGTCGTATCTAGATGAAAAATAGATACTAGAGATACCTAGTGTAAGTCGAGATTGACTCCCTTTCTATGATTGGTACTACTTATTGAGATATATACCATTAGTTCTTTACAGTGAGTGAAATGAATGATAACGTCCTGGAGTATATCATCTGAAAGTAAAGACGGCTCATGTAGGAACATTTCATTTCACGAGACATTGTCAATTTCGGATAAGTTTCTCTAGACACGTTCTACGAGAAAGGTAGTTGAGTGACTATATAACTGAATAAAAAGAGTTGAGGAATAAGGTATCTCAAGATCACTGCGATGAATCCAGCGTATAAAATTGCGAATCTAAACAAGAGTTTCAAATCACTAAGAATAAATGTAACCGTAAGCTATATCGTCTAAAGATGAGAAGTCAAGAGTCAAATCTACTGAAATCTGAGTTCGAAAGCATTAACAAATGAGATTTGTATATTTCGTAGTATTTACTGGTATTTGGAATCAATACAATGTTGGGGTGGTCTCATCTGCGAGTAAAGAGTGAATATATTTAATTGCTTGGGAATAAATGAGAGACTTTCTGTCTATAGAAGTGATATTTTGGATGAATGACTTGACTTGAAGAGTGTATAGCAGCTTAATTACGTTGTGTATATGATATCAATAAGTTAACCGAGGGGTAATTCCAGTATTAGTCCCTACCAAATAATAAATGAAATTATCTAATCGAAAAGGAGAGATACAAGTTGGTGTTAGCATATACATTAATCGACTTGCATAGATATTTGCTATCAAGTATCCCATTAAAAGTCGTCACTTTGAACGTATATACAGATCTAAGTTGGAGTGGGAAAATTTTCTCCAACGACCACCTCGAGTGAGAGATGAAATTTTATGCCATTGCTGGAATTGAAGCTCATATCAGTTATTGTCACCTTGTTCAAGGAGTATTCGCGGAAAATCCGACTCGGGTTGTGGAGATGGATGAAGGCAGAGGAAGTAATGCATGGGAGAAAATCATGAGTTATCTTGGTGAAATATCTCTGCGAGGACTGAGTTGTAATAGTTGATTCTTGAAACGGAAGACAGATTGTATGTTGTAGTGGCAAGGGAGCCAGGTTGTCATGAATATTGATTTGTTTTAATCGATACTTTGAAAAGAGAAAATGTCTTGTTTGATCCCAATGACAACTTTCAAATCACCGTACAGACGACTTTCAAGGAGGATAGACTAATAGCATACTCCAACTTTATATCACCCCTCAATTATCTCTCATCCGCCAACATCCCAAGATAGTTATGCTAAAAGAATGACATTGAAAAGCATACACCAGAAAAATACTACAGTTCTTGAAGTCCATTCAATACCCATCAAGTATTTATACCACTATCCATTCTCTGGTCATCTTCCAAGCCAAACGTACTATGCTCGAACACTCTAGCAAATTCAACCGAAGGGTGATTAATCTCTGCTTGCCTCTCCATAACTGCAATTAGAATCCTCTGCACACTTCCGCGGCAAGAGAAGTTATTTTTGCGAGCGTGCAACTCAGCCTTCGATAAAAACGGCAACAGGTAAGCTTCGAGGTGGTGCTCTCTGGATAATTGACATGCTAAATGAACCTGAACCTCAAACTCGTCACTATCTAGCACCGTTTCAATCGCAGCATAACGCCGGAAGAATTCTGCTCTTCTTGAGTCACTATCAATGTAAGATAATAGTTTACATTCCCTAGGACAATCATAATGTCCAATCCCATGAAACTATTTCAAGTAAGATTCTCTGTCATCGTTCCCCAAATTCAAAGGGCAATATGAAAGGGTGATTGCTTCCAAGTGTGCAACAGGTCTGGTCAGCCGGACCTCGATTGTTTTATTTCTGATGTCGGCGAGACAGATAGCGTTGGGATAGCAACTATGGGCAAAAGGAATACCGTGGGTGGGCACAACGAATCCGACATCGTCTCCAACAAGTGATGGGTGACGTAGAGAATTCCTGATAAAACTGTCGTAGAAATTCACGTCCGGTGGCTCTAGGTGAGAAAACGCATTTACAGGGAGATTCAACAATTGGAGACCATGGCGAATGATAGCTTCCGGTGGGAAAGTATTGTCAGATGTCGTATAATTCTCAGGCTCACCAGCTGATGGAGGCATCCAAAATAATATTGTGTCTTGATGTACGACTGTACCGGCAGGGGAGGCAACCGCAACTCCAATGTAAGTTCGTCCTGTAGGAGTGACGCCCCTCATCACGCCTGGTTGATATTTTCCAATAAACATTTGAATTGAGAATTGAGAATTGGTTGAAAGATGGGAACATTTTTTTGTTAAATACGTCTGACTCGCTTTGATTTATCAAGAATGAAAAAGAGAGTGTAAAATTTCCTACAAGGTATTGCAAAAAGTAATAATGCAATAGGAAAGAGATATAGAAATATTCGTACCGAGAAAGAAGAGCTGAATGGGTTTTCAAACATTGAGTTCATTGACTATTTTAGATTCAAAGCATGATTTCAGTGAATTCTTCAATTCCTATCGGACTGGAATTGTCAAGAACGACTAATTCACCTGGAATACTGCAACAACCAAGAGAATTAGAAGAACCTAGATCGTCAAATCTACTCAGAGTTTTAGAGATTAAATGGACTCTCAACTGAGAAATGCAGATAATAATCAAACCATTTCAAAGGTCGATTACCTCTTAGCATCAGACACAGTCGAAATAAATGTGCATCCGGGATACTAGATATCTCCCTCATGCTCCCGATTCAGAAATGAGATAATCTGCCCATTTTACTGCTTTGTCAAGTTTACGACTTACCTTGATCGTTCTTGCCTAATTAAATCGGTTTATCTCACCCTGACTGAATGGTAAACAGCGGAAGGAGAGGTTATGATTCTTGATTGAGATCTCCAACGTTTCATTGCTTCAGGAGCGAAGCGGGAGGAGGGCGCCTGGGACGATGGGTTCAACTGAACCGCTAACAAGCACAGCAAAGAGGGCTTATTCGAGATCACACCGCAAACATCATCGATTTTTATATACTCTTCTATGAGCCCTGTACTCTACTCAAAAATTCCCACCAAACTCATTAATAATATCACTCTCAATTAGACTACACATAAATTATCTATACCCATGGATTATTTGCGAATAATTTGCTCTACAGGTTATTTATTAGAGATTCTACTTGCTTTATGAATTATCTATTAAAACTTGAAAACTATTTGTTTTATATAAATAATCTATAGATTATTTATAGATTATTTATTTATAGATAGATAGATTATTTGCAGATATATAGGTTATTTATGGATAATTTATAGATTATATAAATATATCCATTTTTTTCGTTTAAAATATAAAGCTATTCTCAAATTATTTTCTAGCCCAAAAGTAATTTTATATTAATTTTTATACTAATTATAAAATTATATTAATATTAACTTATAAAAGATTATAAATAATTATACAATATACAAATAGGTGGATATCCGTAGATAATTTGTACCTACTTTGCAAATTACTTATTCAGATTTTTGAATTATTTGCTCCACAAACAAATTATCCGCGGATTATCTGTCAAGGCTATTATCCGCCCCGCAAGTACCCGTTGCATAGTCTACTCTCAATCACCCATCAAAGTCCAATCATCTCTGAATATCCCGCTATATCAAATACTGAAATATGCGCCCCATCTGCAATCTCATTTCCAACTCCCTCTACAATCTTTCCTTGCACAATACTAGCACGTGTAAACCTCTCCGTCGCGTCATCCAACTTATCAAAACTGAATTCCCAATATATATCAAGAATCTTTCCAGTTCTATTCTCCCAAACAAGAGCATCTAAAGCCCTCAAGTACCAGCTGGTCACTTCAAGTTCATCCACTCCGGGCTCACACTTGCGAAGGACATCGCATAAAAGATCTTGATTTTTGACTTTGGCGATTTGGATCATTGTGAGAATTTTCTGGCTTGAGTGGCGGAGACGACTTTGATGGTAGCTTATGCCTGTTATTTCACATTCTGCTGTTGTGATACAGGGACACATATACACCAAATCGTGCTGGGTGAGAGATTCTATGTCGGAAGCGTTGCCGGTAGCTAAAGTGAAGTCAAATTGAAAGGGACAACCGTTCTCGCATTCTAAGACGCAGAGATAGAGATAGTTTGGGGTTTCTTGGGTAGAAGACGCTTCGGTTTGTTGGAGATCGGGCCTCAGTCTAGGATTTGCAGGCATGATGGTCATTGATAATTCTTAAGGAGGTAGGCAGGTTTGTTGTTTGGGTTTGATGTGCTGTTATATATATATGAAAAATAGAGAGACGAGGTGATTGATGCTACAGAAGCAAAAGGGTGGTGATGGAAAGCAAGACGTACTTTATAGAGAGAAAAATGAAGCATTTAAACCAATGTGTGTCCATTCACAGAGCAATTTATCGTATTATAGCAAAGAACATAGATTCAGAACACAAAATTGAACTTGCATTTTTTTTTATTCATCGCCTGAAGACTTTATTTCCCGAGGTCTTTTGGGAGATTTGACAACTCTACAGCAAACTTTTTGCTTGATATACCTGAAGCAAAATATTTGCATTCACTGCTCTGTTCTTCCAAACCTCATCAAACTGTCTTAGCTTGATTTAGATATGATGCTGGATCCGAAAATATCACTTAGCACCTGTGAATGATACTTTCAGAGGAATATAGTTCTAGCTCTCAGTCGCATGCTATCGCATCCTACTCTTTGAGATAACAGCTGTACAAAATAGCAATCAGGACTGTTATTCCATCTATGGTCTTTGCTACTCGCTGGAATGTCAAAGATCATATGTGTTATTACTTATCTCTCTCAATCAATCTTGCAGTCTATGGGCCAGCTATGAGTGGAGCTGAAGTTTTGACTGTAAACTTCTCACTTTGAAATTATGGATAAGTCTTCTCATGAGAGAAAGATGCTTTACTACATTCTTTTGGAATTTCTAGCACGCTGCGTAGTTGCTCCTTCCGCTTTCGATGTAAAGTTCTGATCGCTAGAACAGATTCTTTCGGGATGGAAGTTTGTAATGACCCCATTGCATCCATATGATGAATGGCATTGTTTGAATGCCGCGGATCGAGGCATTGAAGAAGGTCTATCTAGAGTTTTAAGATGATAACAGCCGTGCGGTTCGAGATATATAAAGAGTGATGGCAATTGGGAAGCATGACTTCTGTAGGTATTCATAAATTTGAGCCGATGCCGCAGCATATCTGTTAATTACTAGACTTATATTCTTGCTTTCGGTCTCCATGTTGCATATGGATGCTCCTCCTCTCCGTCTGAAATCAGATGATCTACTGCTCTCGTATTCAACATGCCAGGGTGAACTTGTGACAAATCCGTAACACCCATCATTCTCATTGTTGTCTCCAGCTCGTCTTTCAGAACTGTATATTATTAGCGCGAATCGAACAAGAAAGTCTCTTCCTTTGAGGGTATAACTCACTATCAATATATTTCTCTACGCCCTCGTGGCCCCAACCAAGAGCAAACAAAAAGCCCCGACCAATTCCTACAGCTTTGGCTCCTAGGCACAGTGCTTTAAATATATCAGTTCCTCTCATAATCCCACCATCAATGAAAACTTCCATTCCGTCAAAAACTTCAGGTGCATTCTTCTGCAATTCTAGCAAAACCAGTATCGAAGCTGGACTTGTGTCCAAACTTCTACCACCATGATTACTTATCAGAATCCCATCTATTCCATAGTCGAGCGCGATTTTGGCGTCAAGCGAGGTTTGCACACCTTTCAGTAAAATAGGAAGCTTCGTACATTTTCGTAGCCAGGCGATATCTGACCATGAGAGTGTAGCATCAATATAACCCCCCATTATCCTTCCCAAAGCACCGCCTTTCTTATCGTTTTTAGCTTTTGCACCACTCATTGGTGTAGACAAACTCTCATCTGCCTTTACTCTTTCATCAGCTTCTCGCTTTCCAGGGACTGGTGCATCAACAGTTACAAATATCGCCTTGGCCCCGAGATTTTCCACATCTTGTAGAAGCTTTTCAGACTTGTGTCTTTCCTTATCAACGTAAAGCTGAAAAAAGATTGGAAGCTCTTTCCTCCCATCGGAAGTCTGCAAATGGTTCTCAGACGCGGCCTCAAATATCTCCGCAATTGGAAAACTAGCATTTGTACTGACGGTCATTGCCGATCCCGCAGCTTTAAGCCCACGAGCTAGCTCCCGCTCGCCTTGTGGGTGTACTAATTTTGCCATTGCTGCTGGTGAGCAGAATATTGGCACTTCCATCTCATTACCAAGCATTGTGGTCCTTGTGCTAACATTCTTGACATTTCTCAGTATTCTAGGACGAAGACTAATATCTGCATATGTGGAAGAATTTCGACCTTTGGTTATAAGATCTGTAGCGGCGGAAGAATAAAATGCCCAAGTTTTTGGTGTAAGAAATGTTTCCGCAGCAGATACAAAATCGCGCGTATTTATTAAATCATCCAGAGAGGGCTTAGAGCCAGGGGCTAGAGTCTTTGAAACTTCAGGCGGAGGATTGATCCATTCCTCCGTTATAGTAGAGGAATCAACTGTTCCCAAGACTTTCGAGGCTGGAAGTGAGGATGATATCAAGGAGGGTGCATGGATTTCAGAGTAAGCTTTTGAAGCATCGCGGCCAGCATACTGTAGAATTACTGGGTGAGAAGATTAGCGGAAGAAAATCAGCAGGACGAAAGACTCACTTACTGTTGGCACCTCCAGGGTGTTCGGGGGCAACTTCTGTCAAATCATAAACTGTATCATTTACCACTACCCATAGATCTGAAGGAATGCTGTGCTGCAAAATCTCCTTCACTGGTATACTACGCGACATTTTGAGATTCACAGATGAGACTTATTTTCTCTTGATGGCCTTCACCAAAATCATAACAGAATATGTGAAAGAAAAATCATTGAAACAGAATATACATATCTAAGTCGTTGAATTTAATGCAAATCGGAATTGCTGCCGCTCTTGTAATGCTGCAAGCTCGTGCTAATTGATGCCGAGCTCAGACAACATCCAATGCTTGATTGGCCAATACGATATATGTCGTTAACCAATCGATACTTGATATGCCATGGATGGCACTATAACATTCTACTCCTTCAATCATCAATCGAATATCACTTAGGCAATCAACGATGCGATTGTATAGAGCAACTAAGAAGGAAAAACAAAAATGTCGACTCTGCTTTGAATTCTTCATTTTACATTTTCTACGAAATATTACATTAATGTCTTCATATAGAGGTCTTCATAATTTCGACTTCTCTGCAATCATACATGCAGAATTTGGGAGACTCTCAATGCTCTCCCTATCGATCTGGTCCACACTCTGGTATCCGGATACATTCATCAAGATATCAAAGTCGGCTAATAGAGACTTCATGACATGTCGAACCCCCAACTCACCCTTGATACTTAATCCCCAAACCCATAGTCTTCCGACAAAGACAAATTTCGCTCCAAGAGCTAAGGCTTTAAATACATCAGCTGCCCCACGAACTCCGGAGTCGAACATAATATAAGTCTTGTCACCTACAGCTATAAAGAAGCATCAGTATCAATTTGATTTACCGCAGTATATCAAAGATGCAGCTTGATAAGCACGGGAATCAACCACTTACCATTGACAATCTTTTCCAATGCATCTAAGCTTGCACAAGCTCCATCGACCTGTCTCCCAGCATGATTAGATACGACTATACCATCAACGCCAAGCTGAACAGCCTTTCTTGCGTCTGCAACATGTTGGATACCCTTCAGACAGAAAGGTTTGCCACCACTAATTCTTTTCCATTGCTCCATGAGCCAAGGCATTTTTTCCCAGGACCAAGCGCGACCATGCCAAACACTGTCAATCCACATCGCGCCGGCCTCATTCGGTTGCTTTTTTGGATCGATACCGGCTTCCTTCAACCGTTTTTGAAAAACGGGATCAGACAGCCCCAGATCGGCCCCTATGCCATGATAGAAAGCATAATTCGAGCTCGCAGCATCGCGGTGTCTCCAAGCCAATTGCCATGTATCTAATGTCAAGATACAGGCTGTAAAGCCACTATCATGTGCTCTCTGTAACAAGCTCAAGGTCAACTCATCATCATGCGGCATATATAATTGAAAAAATCGTGGTCCGGCACCGTTCGCAGCTCCCACATCCTCAATCGAGGTCGACCCAGCGGTTGATAAACAATATGGCAGATTCAATTCTTTTGCAACCTTAGCTACAGGTAACTCAGCCAATGGGTTGTATATCTTGTTAATGCCGATAGGTGCGAATCCGATTGGTGCGCTGACCTTGTGGCTAAAGATTTCCGTCTTCGTATCACGATTGTTTGTATCGACGAGCATTCGAGGGATGATTCGGTGGCGGTAAAACGCCTGCCGGTTCGCGAGATGAGTGTAAGATTGTCCTGCATTGCAGGAAGCGTAATACCTGTAGATGATATCAGTATAGAGAGGATGAGTAGGTATGCTCAAGCTCAGTTTACCATCCGCCTTTTGTTAAGGATTCTTTTGCCAAATCTTCAAGATCTCCTGGGTCTGTGCTAAATGGAGGGACTTCTCCAGTGTTGTCCTTCCAAAACATTTCTCGTTGATAGAGTGCCCATTGTGGAGTGTTTCTACTTTTGATATTGGGGTTTTGGGGATCAGACATGATGATGGGCAAGATATGAGAAGCAATTGTAGACGGCAATGAAAAGAAACGTGAAATTGGATCAAGAAAGTCTTGATGAAGAAGAAAACTTGATACTTAACTTGGATGTCGCAGCCCACTACACAGTTGTTACTTAACATCTATGATCTCATTGTCGGCATCTTACCCCGAACTCAGCATCTCAGATGTTGTTAGTTCTAAAATAGTTCTGATAGTGAATGACAAATGAGACTCACGTGACTTCACACAGATTCGTGGCTTGAATGTGGCTCTGCTCCTTCGGAAAGTTTCAACAACTCATGACATTACGCCGTTAACGAATATCAGTCTGACAAAATATAGAAATTTTATGAACGATCGTATCGTATCGTTCTTCAAACTTCGCATTCCTGTTCAGTTGAAGTTCTCACTTCATGGCCTCATGCCTCGGCTCTCGCATTCTCTCCTGCGCAGAGCTTACAAGATTTCGCCTTTGCTACCATTTGTCCTTCGAGAAACACGCAGTCTTTCATCTGCGATTAATGAATTACGATGGCTAAGTGAATACGTTGATAAAACGAGGAGTCATCGTGTGCCCAATCAAAAATGGAGGATCCTACTAAAACTCTGCCAGAGACGTGCCATAGGGGAGCCACTGCAATATATCCTTGGAACCCAGCCTTTTGGGGAATTGGAGATTAAATGCAGCCCTGGAGTACTTATTCCTAGGTAATAATGGCAAAGCAACTTTTTCAAACACATATCTAACGATAAAAGGCCAGAAACAGAGGCATACACAACACATCTGGCAGAGCTTCTCATCAATGCAAAGCGTTCTTTCCACGAAGCATTGGGAAATCAGCAGAACCCACTGAAGATCGTTGATTTTTGTTCTGGGACTGGTTGCATTTCCCTTCTTTTATACTCGCTTCTGTATAAAGTATATCCTAGGCTCGAGATCGTCGGCCTAGACATCTCCAAAAAAGCGCTTGATTTATCAATTCAAAATGTTCGTTTCAATGCTCTGAACACATCTGCAGAGCAAAGTGTTCGTTTTGAATTTGCTGATGTTCTCGAAGACGAGAAAAGAATCATAGATGTGTTCCAAGGCGCCTGCGATGTAATTGTGTCTAACCCTCCATATATATCAGAAGATGGATTCAATAAAGAAACGACACGATCGGTGAAAAATTGGGAGCCAAAACTTGCACTGGTTCCTGATGTATCGAGGTGGGAAACCGTACACTTAAACGCTGATTTTAGGAAAGTTTCTCTCTTCGAAGTGGAGGATATTTTTTATCATCGATTGTTGCGATTTCATTCCCTTTTGAAGTCAAAAATTCTTGTAATGGAAATAGGCGACGAGGCACAGGCAAAGAGAGTGGCTCAAATGGCAATTAGCTCTTCAAATAGAATTGAAATATGGAGGGATTGGCCAGATCAACACGATTCTGGAAACGAAACTGCAGAATGCATGTTTATTGACAATTACAAAATAGTAGTCAAAGGCACTGGGATGATTAGAGCTGTCGTCTTACTCTCCAATCAACATTTTGAATTATAAATTTCTGAGAATCCCATTAATATCATGATTGTCATGAGGAGAAAGGCAGTATTTCATGAGCCACATTACAGCGTCAGTGGTTTAAAACGAAGACATTCCAGAAATAATCTAGAAGTTCTCTGGAATATTCTTCTATTGAGCACCCCTTTTGCATTAGCCGAATTCCCCAATTCATCCTTTTCTAAGCTTCCAGAAGACTAGCAAGAGCATTTTAAGACAGTAGCTCCACACCTCTTTCAACCGCGCATTATTTTTACGTCAATTCTCAGCCCGGGTAATGAAGAATTATGAGACAGGCTTCAAGTGGTTGCCATTATTTTGAAAAAGAAAATATGTTCGCATGGAAGATCTAATGTTTTCCTGTTATTCCAGACTTGGCAAGCTCGTATGACATCTCACCTTGAAACTGCCATGAACATTCTTCCAATAACCCCTTGAATCCTATTCACTTTATAAGGACAAAGCTGTTTTACACAATTGTTGATGATGGACTTAATTTCTCATATACTAGTCCATTTAGTGTCCGAAAAGCTATTCGTTGGTAGTTCACTTCTCGCGGTGCTTTTATTACAGTCAATTCTCTTCTCTCTTCGATTCTTTAAGTCAACCTTCAAACCATTACAAGTTCAAATGTATACTCAATTTCTTCTCGCACTTATACAACTTTTGGGATCTGCCACATCTCGGAAAAATATTGTAGGACAAGGCTACAGGCCAGCTGCTTTTCAAGGCCCTTCGACTCCCAGAGATGTCAATACGTTTTTCACATTGACTGCTGGTATCAATCGTCGAAAGGGTGACCTTTCAGGCATAGCTTCAGCTAATCCACTTCAGAAGGTGAGAAGATTCCATGCCCGAAGAAAATTCATATCTGACGCCAATAGGGACACGATTGGTATACCAATCTAAAGGTAGAAGGACAAACATATCCTGTCGTTATCGACACAGGCAGCAGCGACACATGGATCGTGAAACCCAACTTTACATGTTTAGATTATGGTACTGGAGCACCAACTTTACAAAGTGCATGCTTGTTTGGTCCAGGCTATGCCCCCAACTCAGGCTTTAAGCCTATCCCAAACCAACATTTCAATACTACATATGCAAGTGGGGAGAATCTAAAAGGAACTTTTGGTCTTGTGGATGTAACTTTGGGTGGTATTCCGTGAGTTTTCTGATCGTCTTCACAATTCGAATGCTTATTCGCCAGTGTCAATGCTCAGATTGCAACCGTCAACACAGCTGTATGGCTTGGCGATGGCACTACAAGTGGCTTATTGGGTCTTGCATATCCATCTATGTTAGTCCCTTCTCTCCTGATATCTGAGTTTTCCTGATGTTGATCCAGCACCGCGGCGTTCAATGACACAACTTTTGATAATGACAAAGCGGAAACTCAACGTAAGTGAGACTACTGTTCTTATTTCCGCGGTACTAATGATATGCAGTTCGATATGACCCTATTTTTACCACTATGTACAAAAAGCAACTCATACACCCAATCTTCAGTCTCGCTTTGAGCAGGCCCTCAAATCGTATCGGCCACGGCAACGGATATCTAGCCTTAGGTGGCTTACCCCCCATTACCACCTATGGAGCTTGGGCTACGGCTCCAATTCAAATTGTCGCCATCGGAGAAGGATACATACAAGGTGCTCTTCCATGGCCACAGCATCGTCCGTTTGCCCCCATCGACTTTAGTCATCTATCGACATTATACTAACCTCCTCTCAGAAGTCTACACCCTCACACCAGACAATTTCATCTATCATGGTAGTCAGCGCCAAAAATGGAACCCCAAACACTGGTCCCCCCTATCCATGCCTAACAGCAGTTCCCAGGTCCAACTTTTCATCGACTCAGGCACCACTCTTACCTTCCTCCCCAACTCCATTTCCTCTGCTCTCGCGGCACTGTACAAGCCACCTGCAGTGTACAATCTAGATCTCTTCGCTTACTCCGTGCCATGTAATGCTAAAGTGCCGTATTTTGCTGTCGTTATTGGTGGCGTGTCGTTTCCTGTCGATCCAAGGGATATGGTACAGGATGATAACACGGGTACGGGAAATTGTGTGGCGGGCGTGAGTGATGGAGATCCGTTTGATTTTTACACGCTTGGGGATGTGTTCTTGAAGAATGTGGTGGTGGTTTTTGATGTGGGGGCTTCCCTGTTGAAGTTTAGGAGTAGGGGGCTCTATTGATTTATGTTGATTGGTGACATGCTACGATAGTGGTGTCTTTTCTGGCTCGATGGTGTATCTCTGCGTAAAAAGCTGCCTTTTCCCCGTTCTTTTGATCGAATTGTTGGGTTTTGCAGTCTATATATTGTCTGTCCAAACTTTGAGAGCAGGGTTTGCATCTCTAACAGAGCTCTAATACTCTAAATTGCGTGCCAAAGTCGTTTTTATCATGGCCCTAATGTCTAGTGTTTGGTATTATTAGTCAAGATTTGCTCATGCTATTATCTGTTGTACGAAAACCATTCATGGGCCCAGAATATTCTTGAGTTTATTTTGGATTGTTGATTTTCTCTCACCCGTCCGATATCCTTGTCATCTCTGTCTGCTGCTCAAACGCGTGGGTTTTGTTGAACGTCTAGACAAAACTCAACGAATTTCGCATTAACTTGCGCTTCTATTGCATTTCCTGTTTGATCAAAATTGTAACGCTGTTGTATTGGCGCAAAAGCTCCTAAGTGCTCATCCTCATAATACCTTATGATTCAAGTTCGAAATGTTGTTGACAATTTGGTTTTGCACAGTACGTTAACATATCATTGCCGCACTGGTTCCTGGGAAGCTTTTTCTTGTGGATTTGCAAGAGTTTCAATGACACTTGTCTTCTGAAGTTGCATTTTTCATCAATTTAGTCTGCCACGGCAGTACTACTTCAATAGACAAGAAGAAGTCTTTGGTTGTACGTCTTCAAAATCTAGTAGCTTCTCATCTGAGCTTTCAATCCGCCAAGTGTGTCTTCAGCAGTGCCGCAACCATCACCTTTCTGGCTCAAGAGCTTCCAGTTGTACTTCTGCAAAAATGCCGGACGTTTTCGTTTGAAGTTTTGTGACATTTGAATGCTAGGCATCTGATGGTATATAGTCAGTGATGGTCTCTGGCGGACTATACCATATTTTGTCATGCAGATTATCAGCTTCCCAGCGAGAGTGCTCGCTGGTACCGAGTGGAGTAGAATGTTTGTGGTTCTTTAATGTCTTTTAAACATGTATGTATGTATCTAGCTCTTTAGCTCGGCTTCATCGTAGGTTTTCGTAATGATATGATGACTTCTTCGTGTATCTTTTCCTTTCTCCTTGAAAGTTGACCCATTTGAAAGGAGACTTTAAATCAACCAGTCAGCGTATGTTTGATAAAAGTTTATTCGGTTATCATCTGCCTAAAAGGTATGGAGAGAAGTGAGAGTGAGAATATGACTGTCTCTATTACTTCTTGCGTTGAATGTGCTGATTCATCCTTCCAAGCGACCTGAGCCATATTGAAACCGCCACTGCATTCTTCCTCCGAGAGCATCAATGGTACTCACTCCTTGATGTTAGGATCATATTCCTCAAGGAGCCACATGGCAACATGCCTCAGAGCGGGACGAACCGTTCGCATATTGTTGTGGGGGGCATCGTGAGGAAATGTATGACCGGCAAGAAGTTCTCTGCCATGTCATTTTCAACGACTACAACCGCATCAAACAGCTCTCGTTCCTAATGCAATAACGTCCAAGTTAAGCTTGATCCACAAAACCCCCAAGTCTTGAAGGAGACATCTTGCTGCTGATCTTCGCTCGCCTTTGGACACATATCCTGTCAACAAAAAGACCCTCTTTTTTCTCAGCCATTGAGACCCCGGCAATCCATCGATTAAGACGGCATAGAAACCTGTTTAAAAAGTCGCTGTTACCAAGGTGGAAAAGACAGTCTTCCAGGTTTCCCGCTTCTGGCGAGAGCATGAAATCGATTTGGCCCCATGCTATGATCGGCAAGATTGGGGTCAAGTAAGATTTGTCACTTGCCGTGAAGACCTACATTCACCGGGAGAGAGAATTTTGCTGATCATAATTCAGTCTACTATGACGGTGTTCCGATTTGCCATGCACAACATCAGACCATAATTTGGTCAAGCAGGATTTGGATGTTGGCCAACTTTTACTTCATAGGTTGTTATTGTCGCGAGTATGGTTCCTCTCCCCCTCCAGCTCCGCCCAATTTAATCTTCAAAGCGCACCCATTAATAATGATCTTCTCCACTTTATTACTACTTGCTATATCAAGATTGTTGGTTGCACTGAGAGCCTCTGAAATATGCCATTCAAACGTCGTCATCCGGCTGCATTCATCCATCGACATGTATCATACAATACATGTACAGAATTCCAAATATAAACTATATTTATGTTACTTCACCTAGGTGAAGCACTATGCGTCAGTATTCAGCTAAAAAGTGGCTCAAAAGAGTCGTGGTATATACATGGCCACGATTGAGGCTGTGTTGTAGTCATGTATTTAGAGAATCAAAAATCAATAGTCCAGTCTGATTGTAGCTCGGCGAAGCGAACATGGTATTGTTATCTGCATTACAGCCGTACAGCTGGCAGGAAACCGTTGGGGGCGAAATGCGGGGGAAGGGAGATATGGGGATGGGCCGGAAAAATATGATGAGCTGGCTGATAAGTTTTTGGTTGTTACACGGAAACTAGAACTTCGTATGTAGTTGACAGATGTATACATTAAGATATGCGGAGAGCTGTGTTGGGATGAAGATTGGTTGATTAAAAGTACCTGGCATCTGTATCTAAGCTCCAGCTGCGCTTTGCAAAGAAACCTTGAAACGGCCTGAACTTGGTCGGGAGCAAAGATAACTGGATCCGTTGAAGATGTCAAGAAAAATTTAGGCTGCAACATTCTCTGCTTTTTCGCTGTTGATGGTTGCAACTTTGCAAAAATCAAACGTTCACTGCATGCAGATCGATATCAAGATGAAGACCTTGAAGCACGCGTGAAGGATTCTTCCTTTACGACTTCGAAAAGGGGTCTGCGTTCAAAGGCGCGCGTGAATATAGCTGGGCGATGGGAGTCTGCATCTAATCGATACGAAGATGGCTTTCTTGGAAGAATTGGATAAGACATGCTGTTTTGACTGCCGCCTGGAAATTGAGGTTGGGATCTGGAAATTTAGAAGGAAATAAGGTGTTGGTGGAAGGTATATTGAATTGAAACATGCCGAATAGGAAACGGATATTCTGCTTCCGCCGCTGCTATCATTCATTTTTGTTGGTTCTTATCATTATATTTTATTTTATTTGCGCAATTATAAACTTTCCAATTGTTTGGATAATTCGGTTGAGCCCGTACCGAACGGATATGTCGGGCGCCGGCTGGCTGCCCCTTCATCTAGTCGTTAAAAAGCAATATGGGTTAAATACCATGTGTGTGGGTGGGTATCTCTTATGAAGAAAATGTGATAGACATGCTTGCTAGATGCAGTCATCCGCATTTCTGGACTGTGGTGGATAAATCACAAGACTCTTTTATTTCAGCGTTTAATATCAATGGAGTCCAGAATGAAAATCAGCAAACAAATTAGTGGTCGGCATATGGCGGTTCATAGAAGTCGTCCAAAAGAAGAATGGTGTGCAGAATATCTTCAATTGTGTGGCTTGAATAACATTCATAGTACCTAGGTATCGATGTACAGTGCCCTTTTCGCAAAAGAACCTTGGGAACTTGTACTTTGCCGCTCATCAAAACCCTTGAATGGATCAAGTTTTAGTTTGCTTTATCTCGAAAATGCCTCCCGACTCAAAAGTTCGCGCTTGGGTGTAGGTCGATTCCAGACCAGGCCTGCCACGGTACTGTAATTCGATCTGTTGTACCTCCACGCGCTCCTCGTAACTGACATATTGGCTACCTCGTTGTCACACCTTTGACTCGAATCCTCGTTCTTCTTGCATGCAAAACCGTCGAGAATTGCATTAAACCTGCAGGTAAAACCATATCACATCCAGAAACATAATATCGGTCCTTCTGTCCCGGAGTTTCTCGACCAAGCATTTTCGGCATTTAGGATTTCTTGGATTGATTTCGTTATGAATTACTTAGCTGAGACATTTCGATATATCTCTTCGGATCAATTGGATGCCATCCTTGGACGAGAACCTAGAAGTTCCTGTTACTCTTGTTTAAGGTCTGGGGTAGTAATCCCTCCGTGCCACCCTTGATGAGATGATTGAAGGGATGACGGAGCGCCCGATAAAGGAATCAACCAGGGCATAAACGATAGAATTTGTATTATTTTTGAATTGTTATGAGTAGCCAAAGGAAAAAAATCAGTATTTAGCCTAATTACACGCGTGATGATCTTCTGTACTTGGTGAATCCATTTGTAGGAGACAGACACACGTTTTCTCCAGGTTCCAGAATGCTTCTACAGCATCACAATGAAGCATTGCATTTGCATTTGAAGGAGTTGGAGTAGTGCAATGTTGGATTGGCAGTATGTATAGTTTTTTGTGGATTACAACGTCGAATTCACGGGACGGGGAGCTTTCTGCTTTGTTGCATCGTGGGATAAGGCTGGTCGGCAAGGCTACTCGAGCGTAGTGGAAGTAGTGTTTCTCTTCTACAACAGCGTTCCATTCACTAGGCTTTAGGGCAGAGTAAATTTCCGAAGGCGATAAATGTCGTCGGAGGCTTAATTCAGGGCATCAATGATAGCTGAAGGTTGTCTTAGTTGTTGAACGGTTCTTGATTTGAGCGTCTATCAAGACTCTTGACAGGCCTTACGACAAGCATCATCGAAGACCTATAATTTTAATGTGTTTCATTTTAGACTTTTCTTTAACGTTTGAGGCTCTCTACAGATGGTTGCAATACATACATTTTCTTATAGCGTTTATTTGACGGAACTAGTGCAGACAATTATGCGAGCTTGAAGAGACCCGAAGGCCGTCCTAGTCTCCTTAGCCCTTCGTCGATATCTTGAAAGGATTGATGAAGATTGACGAGCCACCACCTACAAACAGGAGCACATGCTATCATGGTTACACTCCCGGTAATAGTATCTAGATGCCTAGGTATCTATCACTTTCGGAGACACCTACTCGACAGCTAAGTTGTGTACCGATAGTTACGATCTCGAACCCGCTTTGAACTCAATCGAAAGATGAAAATGCATTGAACAGTACTTGAACATGCCACCATACATTTACGATCCTGGGTGAGCCCCTACACCCTTGTCGTGGGTGGATAAAAAGTGTATATCTCGTGAAGCTTATCTAACTTGAGCTTAGAACAATGTTAGCCCCTTCATCTTCCGTAGCCCCACAAGTTCTTTCTCACATTTGTCTCGGGAGAACCAAACCCAATTCAAACCCATGGACATCACTAGGCATGTATGTATGTTCAGATAATAGGTTGATATTCGGGATAATGCAGGACGATCAGAGGTAAGATATTTGACAAGAATCCAAATCATGTCTTCGATATCAGCTCACAATAGGTGAAAAATAGATCGTGGATTATTCAGATGATATCGTATGCTCAAGCTAAAAAGATTGTTTTTCCGGACATGTAGTAATACATTATCATCCTCTAATCTTGATGCACCTCGCACTGTCAGATTTTATCGCCGGGTTCGTATTCACATCCGCCGCCGCAACAAGCGAAATCTCACGCGAAGCACAAAAAAAACCTTTGCAGAGAGATGTGAAGCCAAACCTTGGTAATATTTAGGACACCCCAGGATTATTTTCAAATCCACTTACCGAACTATAACTCATTTAGGCCATATCCTCATCTCCGCCCATGGCTGACAGTCCTAGCTATCATTCGTCAGAAGATCATCAAGGATACTGTCTAGGGCCCTGGAAATAATTTGTATTGGTTGGTGTTGAATAAGACTTGACAAGACCTAGTGCTGCCTTAGCTCGTTAGACATAGAAGAAGTGATTACAAACGCGAGAAAAGAAAAGCATCAACAAACCAAAACATAAGACGAAATGACATCGGACAATGTAGGTACTTGGGGCGCATGGGGGCTTGGGGGCTTGGGATATCTTTTTGATCGTAGGTGCTTGTGGAATGGTTGCCGGCCGGATTTATTGACAGGTCAGGGGCACCTGTTGGTCAAGGCTATTTCACCTTATGGGAGCTATATACTCATTTGGATGCCTGTCAGCGGATTCCATCCTCTTTTAAGAGATGACCGTGAGGCGGTACACGGTCCCCGCCTTGAACTATACATCGTTTACAGATTTATCCTTGTCCGTCAACGTCTTTTTTCGATATTCCCTCTGAAGATCTCCAATTCGCCATGATTTCCGATTTTAGGCACTGAGAGATGGAAACATACAACTCTCCCCAATAGGATCAATCTAGTCCATACTCTTATACACTATCACTAATGCAGATCACGCGCCAGCCACTTCTACTCGTTCGAGTTAATATAGGCCATGGGGGTACTCATATACATTGCCCTTTCGAAGAGGGGAACGGAACACAAATGAGGCCAAAGCAGTTATCCACCTGCCTACTTAACAAATAACTCGGAAGGACGTTAGACCCATCATGAGGCTTGCTTGCATCCCGCACCTTAGTCTCGTCCTTTGGCCCCTTTGGTAGACCATGTTTAGATTCACGAATAAGAGCTTAGCTCCCGAGCCCAGGATAAGCTTGTACTCCGGCCTTCATCCTCCCTTTCATCCCATAATACATCATGCTAAACACTCCATGAAGAAGCCTTTATGGATAAATGTTCAACTCTTAATCTTCAATCATTAATCGACCAATAATCAAAACTTCTTTCTTCAGATGCTTCAATGTCCATAACACAAACAACAACGATGGCAGCAATAAAGCCAGAAGAGTCAGATCATTCAATTTGGCAAAGTTACGCTCTCCAACCACCTCATACTTCTCAGCAAACGGCCTTCGAGTCAAATTTTCCTTCCGGTCCTCTAGCATTGCCGTATCATGCAAGACAGAAGGGAGGATACCGATCAATGGATATTCCTTCAATCAACACAAGACCTCCTCACAGGGAAGGAAATGGGATCTTGACAGCTTCACCACCACCACTAAATTCACATCATAGCTACCCTTCTCTCAAACGATCATTTCATCCTACAGATGATTCGCCCTATGGCGAAGTAGTGCAGGATTTCCGGGAAGACTTGTCAGAACATCCAAAACCTAATATTAGTCAAGATCACAGACTACTTTCCTTTAGCAAACGACAGCCGAAGCATACCGTCGTAGACCAACATGGAAGAATACAACAGCTAGACCTTTCAGCGCAAATTCACGGAATGTTCTTTTTATCGGAAATGACAACCCCCACGGGCGAGGGGGTGATTGTCCAGCCAGAGCTGACCTGTTACCGGAGGAACCTATTTCAAATCTCCGGATCCGTTACTACGCCCCGGGGCGCCTTATCAGTGATCACGGAACGCGGAGAACGTATTCCAATTTTGTCCCTAGAAGTAACGATCAGTGCCACGGAATCAGTTGATGGCCATTCTGTCAAACTGATTGTCATCCCATGGAAAACACCTCCACCGAACTCCCCTGAAGTAACACCTGGCCAGGAGCAAGAGCCATCGCCTATTCCGTTACTTCCATTCGATGACGGAGCTCCAGATACAAACAATGAGTTCGCTGTTTACCCTATAGCCTACAGAAGACTTCAATTTAGAATCGCGACCGCGAACAATGGCCGGAGACGAGAGCTCCAACAGCATTTCACCTTGCATTTAAATGTTGTAGGAACCTTGGGAAACAACACCAAGATCAACGTTTGCGAGACCGCGACAGCGCCAATTGTGGTCAGAGGTCGAAGTCCAAGGAACTTCCAAGCGAGGAAGGAAATTGCGCTTGTCGGATCATCAGCCTCTCGAGGCCAAGCACCAGAATTGCAGATCACAAGTAGCAGCACGTCTGGCAGTGCTACCATGAAACCAAAATTGGCAAAACCTCAGACCCTTGAACTCCCTCGTTCGCCATTCAATTTCGATGCAAGCAATCTTCCTGTATCTCCACATTTGATGAGACAACAGTAAGTTCTTTCACTCAGTGTCATGTTATTCATCCGAATTTCGACTTGAAGTCGAACAAAGTCGAACTTATTTTCAACTTTGTAACATCTACCTTGACTGTAAGCTGACATGACCATATTAGAACTTTACCATCATGGTTCGCTCCGCCACACTCATCCGAGCACACCCCAGGACCATCAACCCCGAACTACCAAGGACCCCCGCCGTCGTTATCGATGGAGAATTATCTTCAAGGAAACCATTCCAGTTCAGAAAATCCACAAACCCACTCTCCAGCCTCTACAATGCCAGCACCTGCACCTCCAGTACGATCATACACGTACCAAAGTACAACTTCACCAAGTGGAGCTCCCATACGATTCATCGACAGCAATCCACGGCCCGCAAAATCACCTCGTCATCAAGCACCCCCCGAGCTGAACTCTTCTTTCTCTTCCGATTTCACAGCTCGGTTCAATGCTCCTACTCCATATAGTTCTGCCAGTGACCCTGCACAACCAAGAGAATACTTCCCTACATCGATGTCTATGCAACCATGGACCACTGCTCAAGATACCGCGTCTACGTATGGAACTACATTACCCGCAGTCACTAGCTCCCACTATGAATATTCTGGAGATCAGCATTACGTGAAAGAAGAAGGTCACTCTCAACCACCACCGCCGCATCAACAGCCCAGTCAACAGCATTATACTTGGAGCGCCGCATAGGTTAATTAAATTCTTGCAATGAACGCATTGCAATAATTCAGCATTTCAATGAGAACTCCTTCCAATACATATACGCATCAGATATCGGGCCTCCCATGCGAGAATCTAGAAATTCATGCATCACTCTCAAATCTTTCTCTAAAGATCTTCCACCTTTCTACACATCACGGAAATCATTTCCTTGCACTGTGTCAATCTCATTGTTTGTTTAATTCTGCACTCCAGTCAGTACCCCCAGGGAATTAGTCCCCAGTTTCTTGTTTATATGTGCTCTCTTTTGAGATGGAAGGAAACGAAGCAATGGAATAGGATGAAAATCGGATACATTATGGTATTTCTCAGCGAACTGAGAATTCAGCATAGGCATCATACATAGCAAGCGATGGCGTAGGAAAATGGTGGTGAATTTCAGGTTTCTCTTGTTTCCTTTTCTTTTGGCATCTCTTTCATACTTCTTACACTGCGGATACATGGGATGGATGGATGATTTGGATGAAATCAATATGGATGGAACGATGGATGTACTTTTATAAACTCATATTATGATCAGACTTGATACCCTCATTAATTTCTTAATACTCAGTCAAATGTAAATCAATAAGGATGTTGGGCTGAAATTTGAACCATTTAAATGCAGAATTTATTCTGTGATTTCGATCATCTGTGAGATATATTAATATTTTACATAAAACCAAAAAATACCAAGTGAAGTCTAAACAGAAAATCGCGGGCCAACCCGTTGCACAATTGGTCATTCTTGGCCCCCGCACAGACATAATTCTATCCCACCAAAAAATATGTCGAGAGCTTCGATGCAGAAAACATTGGTCAAGCTTCGCAACAACATACAATAAACATGTTTGACCTTCCGGACGCGAAACGGTGAGTGCTTTACTGCTCCATGAGGAAGAATACCAGTTTGAATTTCTGCTAATATTTAATTGATAGTGTGCGCCGTTCAGATCTATATACTCGATCCTCATCATCATCTCCCGAACCACCTTCACCAATCGACCCTGATGTCTCTGCTCGATTTCACGACCAGCTTGCTTCACTGTATGGACCTATTTCATTACAACCATGCGCGAATGAGCACTCGTTAGATCCTGAACCCGTAAACGACGCTCTACATTCAACACCACTAGAAGACGATCAGGACCAGGCAGAGGAATTTGACTTTCGGCTTTTCTCAAATGTCAAAGAAGGCAAAGTAGTCCTCAAGGAGGAGGCTATTGATAAAGGGATTTTTGTTGTTCAGGAAAGGGACATGAGTTACTACTTCACGGGTCCAATTGAGGGGCAACGTAAAGAGGAATACGCCATTGCGGCAATTAGTGGAGAAGATGTTTTGGAAGGCAGAGAAAAAAGATATTGGGGCTTGGAAGTTCCGTGGCGAGTCCGGGTTGTGAAGATTGGTGTTAGTGGGCAGAAAAAGCTGGGAAGCAATGGCCTCCTCGGGGTCAGAAATAATTCTAAAGAGGAGAAGAAGAGGAAACCAGGCAAGAAGATGAGGATTCTCATGAGAGAGAGGAGAAGGACAATTGAGGCACAAGAACAGGCTATGACGAGGGAGAAGGAAAGCAAAGAGGAGGCAGACAAAGAGAGGAGAGCTAGAAAGAACAGAGAGAAGAAAGTCAAGAGGAAGGCAAAGGAGAAGGCGTTGAAAGCTGCTGCCGGGAGGATTGACCAGGCCGAGCCCGGAGTTGACGGAGCAGTTGAATGAAGAAGCAAGGACCAATTCTTTGTCGGTCACAGCCGGATCGACATTTACGATGGGAGAAGAACAGAAGCCTTCAATCTGCGATTCGGAACCCCACTCGAAATTCCGATAAACCTTCGCATGCGCATCTACGAAGGACGACAACCCCTCCAAAGAACCCCTTGCGTAAATGCAACCATAATTTAATACCTCCCCCACTATACAAAGTCTTTGTCGCATCCACAACACAGACGGGAAACACACACACTATCCAACCCAACTAAACAACATTTCCTCGTGGTTTCTAGGATTTAGCATTAAAGTTATGCATTTGACATATCACAACGGTAATACTTGTACAACACGTTCCTCCCGTCCCGTGCTCAGGAGGAGGCTTGAAAGCCTCAATCACAGCCTCGATCCTTTAGTCACATCCACGAGAACGCAAAATACCTTCATATTCCACGAAAACACATACTCTGTTCCTTTCATTTTCAAGGATTCCGAAGGATCAAATAACGTGAAATGAAGGATTCCTTCTCTCGCACCATTGTCTTTCAAATCAAAGACAGTCAAGCATATCAAGTCCTTCAATTGTACCTATTTGCCGGTCCCTGCAGCTACGCCGTACTTTTGCGACTTTGTGCATTTCTGGGAATACCTTGGCCGTCGGCTTGCTAGTATGACAAATAGATTGTTCTATGAGATGGCATGTTGTATGCCACGATTGGTTTTTCGGATTTAACACCTTCCATTAACAAGCAAGTATACATCTATCTACCCGGCATGCAGTTTAGCCTTGGCCTCAAATAAGACCCTGCGGGCATTAGCACAGAAAGTGTAGAAACATGGCTCTCTAGCTTATCCGCTCCACCCCCGCTGTTACGTTACCCCGCCGTGCCACATCGGTACAGGAACAATCTATATGGCCATGGTTTTAATCATGGCTAATCTTCGTCTATTATATACTTATAATAGTGGATATGTGAGAAATTTGTAAGTAAGTAACGAAGAGAAAATTAATGGAAAATTAAGTATCCTTGGTTGTCCACACGAGGCACAGTCGTGGCGCCATTACGCGGTACGGGATCGGGGGGTATTTCCCCTTTGAGTAATTGCTCATATATTCGGACGATCTCTTGTTAATCGAGCGGAAAAATATCTATGGCCAAGATGGATGGTACTAACTCTATTTTTTTTTTGCCGGGCTTATTCACGTATTTACGTATTCACGTATTTAGGATTTTTATTACCGGACTTGTACTCAAGTATCTTATTTTGTTTCTGAATAGTGGCTGGGAACAAATTCATGGTCAGCAAGACGAAAGTGATGGTAACATGGTGTGCTATGTCAGATGTTTAAATATCAAACTAATTTACGCTAGTGCGTATTTGGTCACACCATATTAAATGCTGATATTTCATCCATAAAATAACTTATTCGACCTAGGTACTTGCTTACTTGGGCAATGAGTAAGCAATGTTCCATATTTAATGTTGGCTAGGAGCAGTCAATCTATTATACTATTTCTTTAGTGATTACTTTGAGTTCATGAAGAAGTTTAGTGGTTGGTTCAAACCGAATGCTAAAAGGCAAGGGTTCACTAGTCAAGGATTAAGTGATTACTTTCTGCAAAGAGCTCCAAGAATTATCACATACATAAATGTCTTGAACGGATAGACGGACGAGACCGACGCTTATTTAGTGTTGATGCACGTATGTATGTACGGCACCTTTGAAGTTTGAAGGTTGAAGGCTCAAGATGCTTGAGGGGATTGTTTCGGGTCAACTCTTCATATGTGGGTTTGGTATGGGGGGCTGAGATGAGGGGGTAGATTGTTTTCGAGGGTCTGAATTTAGCCTCTTTTTTCCCTCTTGGCTTTGAAATCTGCAGTTAAACAGGATACAAATGTTCATTCTTGAATTCAGTGATTCATTTCCGGGTATAAAGATTTCTTGTATTTTGCATGCTCAATCTCGACTTTTCGGCTTATGCGTTGATTCGTCTATCCCTTGCCTTGCCTTCCTTCGTCTTTCGTTCTAAGTTTATAGCATAGTGCAAAATCGGTGCATCGCCGAAAGTGATAACGTGAGGATGACATAAGTCTCGCTCTTCAGACCTCGTTCTGGACATGTATGTAATATTATGCCAACTAGTTGCTTACCAGCATAATTCTTTGCTGGCTTGTTAGTCTGCCGGCTTGGTTGATTAACTTGATTGCGAAGTTGGGGTCTACTAACTTGTACGTGTACTAGTGGGGCATCCCCATATAAGCATCCGATGAGATAATAAAGGATTCGCGAATTTGACAGTGAATCATGAAAACGGATGCGATGGGGTTAAGATGAAGATGCGTAAGGATTTCATCAGGGGTTTCTTAAATCATTCGATATTAGGATCTGCTTTGATAGCGAGCGCATTAGTGTGGCGAGTATAACAAGGGAGATCGACCGAGGCCGCTTGAGGGGTGTAGGAGGTTTACTGTGGGTATGGCGTGTGTATCTGAGGGATTCAGTATGGGTATGCTCTAGAGTAATCTATTATGGTTCGTGACTGTATGTGAGGAGGCTAGATTGTGAGAAGGATTGAGAATGTAAAGGGTGGCATGATGCGAACTTCGCTGGGGCTTGCTTGTGTAAATATCCTTGATGCGTAATGGAGTCGCAAGAGCTGTTTGCTCCACACGGCCGGAGAATTGACGGGGAGGATAGAACCCGAGTATGTGAAAGTTTAATTGTCTTTATGTGAGTTTGAGAAGGGAGGTCTTAGAGCGGTGGATGTGGATGTGGACTTGAAGGAATGGAGACGCAGATGGAGACGGAGATGGACATAGGACATGGAGAGGCGAAGGAGAGGGAAAGGGATTACTGGGGTATGCGCTTCGTTAGTGCAAATGGAAAGGAGGGTTATCTTAGTGTCGTAGCGGTATAGCGTTTGTACGCGGTATGGGTTTTGACACAGACTAGATTTGGGAAATGGGGAGTTACCTTTTTCTTACTTAGACGAGTTGATGGATGGATGGATGGATAGATGGATAAGTCTAGTACTGGAAATACTTGTATCTATTTTGGAGATGTTTGCGCGCGCGCTTCAGGATTCAAATACATAGAGATGGAGATGAGCATAGAAAGGGAATAGTGATAGGAATTTCTTTTGCCCTTTTCTGGATCTCGTTCTAAACTGCATGAAGGTATGGGAAATGGATAGACAGTATGTAGATAGTAGGTAAAAGATAAATCAATAGTATGGATAATGGAAGGAATATATGGCGAAGTCCGATGTCAAATTCAGATTCCCATGTATATACGTAAAAGGATTCTAGATTGAGTGTCTAGGTGCAGCTATTGAATAGGTATGGTATTATGATTTGATTGTTTACTTACTTACTAGGTGGGTAGGTAGGTAGGTACTTGCTGAATTGAGCGGTTGACACGTATTGTAGATTGTGGGTAATGCCTTGGGCCTTTTGGGTCATAGATAGAGGGGGAAATGTGTAGCAAGATTGGATTCTAATTTGTAGAGGTAGGTAGTGATCTATGTAGGTATACAGTATATATGTAAACTTACGTGAAAGAAATCCTATGCTGTGGTAAAATCGCACCGAGGCTTACTTGGTTACTTGAAGAGGTGGTATTCAGCGTGTTGGACTTGTGATTTAGATTGTTTTAGAGGATAGAGTATAGATAGACTGTAAGAGTAGAGGCCTTGTTTAGGGATTTGAGTTGTGGATTGTGGGTTTGCTGGGATGGGGGTTGGATGGGAGGCAGGGAGGGAAGAGAAGGGGAAGGGAAGGGGGAGGTATCATGCGGGAAGAGAAGAGCAGTTGAGAGTGTTAGGTGGGATTGTTAGCTAGATGGATGAGATGGATAGAATGAATGCGTATGAATATAAAGGGAGAGATGGGAGAAGAGAGCGCAGACGAACTTATGTGAGATAATGATGCTGGGTAGAGGGTGCCATCTGGATTAGGAAAGTAAATGATGATATGATATGAATGAGATATGGCATTAGCATACTATCTGAATACATATATCAGACGATCGAGCATGCATTTTGGTACACAATTAAGTATTGACATTAATGATATATTCTTGTTTCTTCTCGTTTCTTCGTCTTTCTTTCTAGCTTTCTCATGTCTGTCTATCCTTCATCAATCATTCCTCCATCTTGATCAGTGATGGATGTGAAGCGCGACCATATACCATGATAAGCCTTCTAACTAACCTGAACCCCTCTGCCAGAATTTCCAGCTACTCCCACTCCCACTACTACTTCTCTCTCTCTTGGAGACTTGATCTCGTCCGCGAATCCGCCAGTAGTATATCGGCACACCCGCGAGTACAAACGCGACAACAATGAGCGTTTGAATTGGTTCCGCAAAGACTGCTCTGCTGAGGAGGAATAAACTCACACAGCAGAAGATTATGGGGGTGGTAATCCAAGTCTTGTAAGGACGTTCGAGATTAGGTTCACGAACGCGAAGAACAATGAGGCCTAGGACTGTGAAGAAATAGAATGTATAGCCAGCGACACCGTAAAAAGTGACTAGCGTACCGAATTCGCCGACAGCGACATAGACTGCTGTTAAGAGAGCGTTGAGAATCATGGCGTTTACGGGTGTGAAGAAGAGCCCGGTGTCTTCGTCACCAAAGAATCTGGCCAATTTCTTTGATGCCCAATTGCGTGTTCGGAGAGTGTTGGCAGAAGGCTCCGCTTGGTTTCCGAACCCAATTTTGCCAAACATAGCGGGTAGATAACCTTCTTTGCTAGCTGCATAGACTAATCGTCCACTAGTGAAGGCTGTTGCATTTAGAGCTCCAAAACAGCTTGCGCTGACAATAAGTGCAAGTATTAATGATCCAATGGGACCAAATACCTTGTTTCCGAATATAACTGCAACTGTATTGGAAGAATTGATAGCTTTCAAAGGTAGGACGAAGAAATAGGCGACATTAGCGAGGATATAGGAGAGAATGACTAATGGCATGGCTGTATGGATGACTCTTGGCAAGTCCCGAGTAGGGTTCCGGAACTCTCCAACCACGTAATTTGTCTATGAAAGTCAATAAAGTTTGTGGCTAAAAGGCTTGGAATACTCACATTATCCCAACCGTCAAAGGCCCACAATCCAGCATATAATGCAACGGCCCATGATGAGGCGCTACTACTAGTTCCCTCGAACCATCCGTGATTCTTCCAATCCTCATTTGCCTTTCCTGATGTAGAGAAGCCAGTAAGGGCTACCACAACACCAATGACTGTAACTCCAAGCAATGCAATAAACTTCATAAACATGAACATATCTCCCATTCTCGTGCCCAACTTTGTAGATATACAATTTAAAAAGGTAACGGAAAACAATCCAATCAATGCCACGCTCTTATTAATCCAAACGTTGACATTCTCAGCCTCAGCCCCAATGAATGCCCGTACCAAATATTCTCCCATTATTATCGATACAATGGCGGTCGATCCAGGCTTCAGAACGATGACCGCACACCATGTAAACAAGAACCCAAAAATCTCCCCAAAAATCTTGGAAAGATATATTTGTGCGCCGCCATTCAATGGTATTGCTCCTCCCAGTTCCGCGTAACTTGACGCGCCAGTCCATGCTAATATTCCTGCTATTGCCCATACAATCAATGATGCGCCTGGTGATCCTGCATTTGCATTGACCTGACTCGGCGAGGAAAAAATCCCGGACCCTATTATCAAGCCAACTATCAATGACAAACCGTTCAGATATGTCAAAGTCTTATGTTTTTCCAACGATCCTCCTCCTAAAGCAGTTTGGCCATTTGTCGTAGAAATAGGGGCTCCGATTGGCGCATAACCTCCTGCGGTAGAAGACAGAGGGTAAAGGTTGGAAGAAAAGTCGAAGGCCGAAGAGACAGAATATGTTCTGTCATGTCCTCTTCCAGGCCGACCATTCGCGGCGGGATTTCGGTCATCTAGAGGATCATCTTCCTCGAGTGAAAGCTTCCGCGATGAGGATATACCGGCATCTGATGATAATGAATCTGTTGATGATCTCGCGCCTGGGGAACTCGATGCTAAACTAGCCAATTCTAAAGAGTCGCGCGCGTGAGGCTGTAAATTTTGATATGTTGGTGACATTATAGTTGTTCGTGAAAGTCGTTCAAAGCCAGCATCGTATGCTTCAAAGCTTAAGAGGTGCGATCAATGGCAGTCTGTTGGTTGGTTCTCGTTTATGGCAATGCTTGAATCATAACGGTCGTGCAACTTTACAATCGCAATGAACTCGTATCGGAAGGATAGGACAGCACCTAAGGAAAGGAAGCAAGTGAAATAAAGCTTTAAATACCAATCAATATTCACTGGAATTGAAGAAGGATTCCAAAGAACAGAGCGCGTAGAATCCAAAGTGCAATGTGGACCGGTAGGTTTTAATGAGACAGAGAAATACCCGTGGACAATGGATGTTTTATTTTTTTGAGGTACCAAAGTAGATCATCTCCAGTTATTGTCTTTTGTGATCTATTTATTATTATACTTGCCTGTGCTTTCCTTTTTGTGTTGGGTTCTCGGTGCTTGGATACTTTGATACTTCACTAGATTCACGACTCACTCACTAATAATAGGTATCCAAGCATTTATTACTCCTGAGTTCTGAGTCTAGAGTCCAGAGTCCAGAGTCCAGAGTCCAGAGAAGGCTGAGATAATAGAATTGAGTCCGTGCTCAAAGTTTGGCATTTACTTTAATAAAAATATATTGCGAAGCTACCACCTACCTGCGTACTCACTCAGAGCTACCCCTCACATGTACAACAATTCAATTCAAAAGGAAGTCAATCCTCGATATAACCATCTGCGAACCCAGTACCAAGATTGGTCGACTATATCTTGAGTAGCTGGTCTCTGGCATGATATGATGCCGTGAAAATCATGCAGTCCTCCATTCGCAGTTGCGCATTATCTCGAGCGAGTGTAATTCGAACTTTATCTCATTGTAGTCGCAATCACCCCGCTACTGGTCTCCTTAGTGTCAAGCCCATCGTATTTAGTCGATACGCTTCTACTTCTACTAACAACCCTTCTCCAAGTCTAGATCTGCCATCTTTGGATCAGAAATGGCGTGCCAAATGGACGACGACGGAAAAGCCGAGATCGGTAAAGGATAATCAACAAGATGAAGGCCAGAAAATGTACATATTACCGATGTTTCCATATCCGTCGGGCGATCTGCATCTGGGTCACTTTCGAGCATATACGGTTTCCGATGTTCTGGCACGATTCCATACAATGAGAGGCTACAATGTGGTCCACCCAATAGGTTGGGATGCGTTTGGCCTGCCTGCTGAAAATGCAGCACTTGAACGTGGAATAGACCCCGCAGTCTGGACAAAACAAAACATACAAAAGATGAAGAGTCAGCTAATTACTTGGAATGGACGTTGGGATTGGGATAGGGCATGTCTACAAATGTAATCATAGATTTGATAGCTAATAGGAAGTAGGAAATCACAACTTGCGATCCCAATTTCTACAAGCATACCCAGGAAATCTTTCTTCTTCTTCATGAGCGTGGTCTGGCATATCAAGCAGAATCTTTAGTGAATTATGATCCTGTGGACAAAACCGTTCTTGCAAATGAACAGGTCGATGCAAATGGTAATTCATGGCGATCTGGAGCCAAAGTTGAGAAGAGACTATTAAAACAATGGTTTCTGAAAATATCTGAATTTCGAGAGCAATTGCTTCAAGATATTGATCACTTGGCTAAGGGAGGTATGTGGCCGGAAAGAGTTCTAGCCATGCAAAAGAATTGGCTGGGGAAATCAAAAGGAGCTCGAATTCAATTTTCCATATCAGCAGGTGAAGATAGTTCTCAGCAGTCTGTTGACGTCTTCACCACTCGACCGGACACTATTTATGGAGTTCAATACATTGCTCTTGCAGCAACACATCCTATTGTTCAAGGTCTTGCAAAAGAAGATCTAAAATTGCAACAATTTCTGGACAGTATGTCAGAATTACCACCTGACTCAAAGGTTGGCTATCTTCTTCCTACTATTAGTGCCGTGCATCCGTTAGCATCCCGAAAATCTACACCAGAGGCTTCTAAAACGCCTCTACCCGTTTATGTTGCACCATATGTACTAGGTGATTATGGTGATGGAGCAGTTATGGGAGTGCCAGCGCATGATGCTCGAGATCATGCATTTTGGAAGCATAATAACCACGACACTCCACCGAGACATGTAATTGGTCCCGTTGATGGTGCTTCGAAAGCTGTCCCCGCAGACCAACCTTTTGTTCATCCGGGTCATCTTACATCAGAAAATCCACGATCCCTCGTTGGACAAACATCGGCTAAAGCAAAGCAAGGCATAATGAGGCTGCTCCAAAATGAAGGTCTCGGCTCCGCTACTGAGACATGGCGTCTCAGAGATTGGCTTGTCAGTCGACAGAGATATTGGGGTACCCCTATTCCTATAATTCATTGTGCTAGTTGTGGTCCAGTCCCTGTTCCTAAAGATCAGCTTCCAGTTGAGCTTCCTTCAGTTGAAGGCCATTGGCTGAAAGGTAAAGCGGGAAATCCTCTTGATGGTGCTCACGACTGGGTCAATGTCCCATGTCCCAAGTGTGGCGGCGATGCTAAAAGAGATACCGATACCATGGATACTTTTGTCGATTCTAGCTGGTATTTTATGAGATTTGCTGATCCCAAGAATGCAACGACACCATTCTCTCCGGAAGCAGCCAATGCAATCCTCCCTGTTGATGTATATATCGGAGGGGTTGAACATGCCATTTTACATTTATTATACGCTCGTTTCATATCAAAGTTTCTGTCCACAACTCCGCTCTGGCCTGAAGGGTCGACCGAGAACGTTCTTGGGGAACCCTTTAAGAAACTTCTTAGTCAGGGTATGGTACATGGAAAGACCTATTTAGATCCTTCCAATGGTAGATTTTTGAAACCCGAAGAAGTGGATCTCACCATACCATCGAAGCCAATTCTTGTTGCATCAGGAGAAATTGCCAAAATTAGTTATGAGAAGATGTCAAAATCTAAATATAATGGCGTCGACCCAGCACAGTGCATGACGAAATATGGTGCCGATGCAACCAGAGCCCATATGCTCTTCCAAGCACCAGTCACCGAGGTCCTTGAGTGGGATGAGCAGAAAATATCTGGTATTACTCGTTGGTTGAAACGTCTACATGATTATATATGCATAAGTACAGGGGTATCTCAGAAAGTCAAAGACCACACATTATCTCCCAAAGATTATCTGCTTTCCGCGGCAGATTTTCTAGAGAAAAGCAAAAGGAGTAACTTAGAGAAGCAAGATTCAAAGGCAGACGCTGCCGCTTTGAACTCAATTCACGCGGACATCAAACTTTGGCGAGCAGTACAACAAAGTATCACAAATATAACAGAAGCTTATAGTGAGACGCATTCTCTTAATACCATCGTCTCGGATCTAATGAGTCTCACCAATCTTATCATCGAAACCACAGAAGCAAACAAAGTCAGCCACGGAACATCACATACCGACGTTACCGTTGGTTTCGAAGACGCAAATTGGGTAGAAGAGCATAGTGGTTTAATCGAAATCGCAGCTACGAGAATCTTGCTTCAAATGATGGCACCTGTTACTCCAGCTTTCGCGGAAGAATGTTGGTCGATTTCTCACGGCGGTGTTGAAACACTTTCGATCTTCGAAACGAAGTTCCCAGAGACAGATGGATCGATAAACTGGTTACTCTCCGAAACTCAAAAATGCGCAGTACAAGTTAATGGGAAATTGAGATTCGCAATCGATATACCGATTCCGGAAGAGGGAATGGATAAAGTGGAGTTGCAGAAATGGGTTGTGGAGAGGGTTTTGGAAAGTGAAGAGGGGAGGAGGAGGTTTGGGGAGGAGGAGAGACAGGTCGATGTGGCCGGTAGAAGTAGGAGGGTGGTGGTTGTGGGGAGGGGAAAGACGGTTAATTTTGTGGTTTAGGGGTTGGGTGGTTGATGGTTGGAAATCACCCGCTCGAATTTGTTGATGTGTGGAATATGCTTATGATGTGTATGATCTGTGATCTGTCAATCTGAGCGTGGAACGAATGGATAGATGAAATTTCCTCAAAGAACAACATGATAGATCGAGATACCTCCACATCTCTCTACAACCCAGCTTTCGAATCAATTGGCCAGAAAAGAAAAATGTACAAACTTCTTTGAACCTTTCGTCCTCAATATAAACTTTGGAGCTGTCGGATTACTAATATACCCTCTCTCCTTTCCTCCTTTCCCATCCAATGTCTTCCAGGCCTTCCAACCTAATCAACAATTCCGAATCTCAAAAAGAAAATCAATCACTCACTCATATCATAACATCACTTTCTACATCTGAGATAATTTTGATTATATTCCTATTAGAACCACGTACACAAACTAGTATATAGTATATAATACCTACAAATGAGTCCTATACACTTCTTCACTATCCTTCACCGACTATATAGCTATATCTCATACTCGCCTCTCATTACCCAGGTACATGCATTTTCTAAGCGAATCCCCGAGAGATTAATAGCTTCTGGATTGAGGGATTAAAACTCTGTATGAATAGCCAACATAACTTTCATTCTTCTCGTTGCGGGAGTTTTGTTGGCAGTAGCGCCTGTGACAGGAAAAGTGGGGTTGGTTTGTAGAAGCCGCCTGGTTTGATCAAATTTGAGGATGGAGTTGCGAGAATAGACGGTTTTCGGGTCATCAGAGCTTCTAAATTAGTAGAGCAGTAAATGGTAGATGGGTGTGGCCTGGAATCCATCTGGTGCGATATAGTCGCCTAATTCCATGTGTCCAGTTTCCCCTCAGTCCTTGACTTGGTCGTTGTAATGTAGTTGATACCCACCGATGACCACACAGAGCTGCACAATCACACGATGATTTCGGATGACATATACGACGGGAGGCCCAAAGCGGCGTGGGGAAGAATCAGTATGCTCCAAGGAAGCGCGTCGCACACAACCTCAACCCATTGACTCTGCTCTCCTTGTCTTCGCCCTCATCCTCTGGGTATCCTTCGCCTGTTTCCTTGCTTGACTAACACTCATTCTAACTTCCTCCATGACTTTCTTTTCCAGTCCATCAACCTCCACCTCGTCTAGCACGAATTTCCCCAAATTTCCCTGTCTCCACCTCTGAATAACCCATAGTGCTGCAGCCTCTGCATCCGGTACCCCGCCCCTCCCTAGCCGTCCCGTTTTCCTACAAACCGCCTCGAGAAACTGTACGATATCATTCGTCTCCTCGCAATATTCTTTATACACGCTCCCTCCTGCTTTTAAATTAATATGAAAGAGTAAATAATCCGCTAACGTCGTTGGCGCAATAATCGTATCTTTGACACTTCCCACCAATGCCAGTTTCAACATACTATCCGTATCTGGTACGAAAGGTACAAATACACCCGGAGTATCTACTAAATAGACACCCTCAGTTCCTGCTTCCGGGTCCGGATCGACTATTTTGACACCTGACGCGATTTTCCTCGTGATACCGGGTTGGGCACCTGTGAATGCTGCTTTGCCTCTGTGTACACCCGCCATGCGTAGAGCATTTAATAAAGAAGATTTCCCAACATTAGGCATACCCACTACCAGAATTCGAGAGCCGGTGAGGGATTGTTGCGCAAGACCATGTTCTTTGCAGAGGGAAAGAATGGTTTGGATGTCGGATTTGGATTTGTGGTTTGAGAAGAGAGTGGAGGAGGGTTTGTGCCAATCTTTTATGATTGCTTCTCTCTGTTGTTCCCCAGCAGTTAGTTTGTTGATTCTCGAGTCTGTATATATGTATGGAGTTCGCACCTTTTTATCCACAGCCAAACCTTGATATCCCAAATCCCGTTTCGTGTACACGATGACTCTTTCTCTTCCCGCGAGTGATTGCTCGAATAGCGGATTTCGAGACGTGAGAGGGACTCGGTAGTCTCGACATTCTATGATGAGATCGATGGATGAGAGCATGGTTTTCATGCGTGAGAGACCGGATGCATGATGGCCTAGGTAGTACGATCGAGGGAGAGAAAGTTGTTGGGGGAAGGCGGCACGAGGTATGAATTGTGCCATTTTGATGGCGGGTTATGAGATGTTACCGGAGGAGCATGGCAATTGCTGGGTTCGGGAAAGTGAAGGAAGGTATTGGATCTCAACATGCTGAAGTTTGAGATGAGGCTGAAAGTTTAAAAATTTGGATTTCTGAGGTTACATAAGGCTGACGAATTAGAGCTACTAATGAATGGCGCCAATGCACGGCAAGTCAATGACCCTTTTTAATAAAATGATGAAATTCGGATCATTTGATAAGGCTGAAGATCATGAACTCTCGTAGGAGTAACCGTAAGGGACCTCAGTCGACATGTATTTTATTTTATTTTATTTTAAGCTTCATAGCTTCATAGCTTTAAAAAATTGATACTGCGATTCTACATCGCTTCTCACCAGTCATCGATTTCTCTCTCTCTCAAGCCAGAATAGTTGGGAGAGCTCTCCAGATTCATGCCATTAAGTGATGTTCATGATCTTGTAGTATTCCTATCATCTTTCACTGATTGCTTCTTTACTTCAATATTTTGTAGAACTTTTACCAAGCAATGATCTACCGAGTAATGATCGAATTCGCGATAGAACTATGTACTCTTATGTCGCTTTGCCTCTTTCGCCAATCGCGATTCCATCGTCGATGTAGTGTGTATTCTGGCCTTCATCTTGGCGTTGTGGATGGATAACAAGACCACGAAGTTGTTTCAAGCAGACTATTTTCTGGATATCACCATGCGTCTTTCCCTCAAGCCGATCCGTCTATTCCCGCACACGTGAAGAAAATGATCTAGACGGACCGTAAAAAATAAAGTTTACCGATTTTTTCTAGTTTCAAGACATAGTCAGTCACATAACCTTAGTTAGACACATTAAAGCGACAACATTATACATTATCGTCTTCACCGAACACGGATGGGAAACCATTGTAATCTTTGCTTACGAAGTACACTTTCGACTGTATTCTAGACCCGCTCTCGCCGCTTCATCACTCTAAGGTTCGGAGTAACTTGGTTGGCTCCGATGGAAAATTAGGTCTCCGGATTACATTACTAGGCAGGCATAGAATTGTGGCGACATCGGGTATGGGATTCAAAGTAGACCATCAATACAATAAGTGGGATGGATGTTGACAAAGGAGTCAAGGAAGGAAGGAAGAAAGAAAGGAAGGAAGAAGAGAGAGAAGTAAGGAGAAAGAAACCAACAGTTGGTTGTATCGGAGAGAAGTCATTCTTGATGGCCCGAGTATGATTCAATCAAATTGTTCTTGACTGTGATAACGATGTAGGACCTCCTAATAACTGTTGATTTCGAATGACTTTATAAATAGTCGTCGATTAGTATTTGACAACATTTCCCCCCTTTTATTCATTTCTCAACCCTCACTCCAACTTCACTCCAAATTCACTTCATTTCTTCCTCGCAAATCATCCATCACACACACACACCAAGGTGCACGCTTCAGGATTAGTCACCCCCTACGTATTTACCCAAAGAGTGAATTTTCCACTTATTTGACCCCACCATATGACGCCGGAGGGGTGAAGTTAGAAACCGAACTTCTGTCTCAACAACATAAAAAACCTTAAAACCTTTCAACCTCTTTCTCACTCCAAAACTAATCATTACCATTTTCATATTACTTCCTTTCTACCAAACTTCAAACAAGATACCCCCAAAACACTCCAACACTATAATCATGCCTTCTTCATTAGATCAACTCAAAGCTTCTGGTACCGTAAGTCAACAATCTGTCTTTATTTGCCGATGGCTAGTCGACGGGACACTCGGGTCCGGCCTGGAATTCGAATTCGAAAGAAACTCTGCTGAAGTAGATGGGATTTGAGGATATACTTTGGAATATACTTTGCTAACTATTACTGTCTCACACTAGACCGTTGTCTCTGACTCTGGTAAGTTTCTAATCTATCATTGCAACTGCTTGAAGCTTCAACTGACTCGTATTCCTCTCTAGGTGACTTTGCTTGTACGTGATCATCAAAACGAACCCTCACCAATTCTACAATCAACTACTAACAGATATCTTCAGCCATTGCCAAGTACCAACCGCAAGATGCCACCACCAACCCATCGTTGATCCTCGCTGCCTCCAAAAAGTCCGAATACGCCAAGCTCATCGATACCGCAGTCGCATTTGGAAAGGGGGTCGACGGTGACCTCGAGAAGAAGACCGATGCCACCCTCGATCGTCTCCTCGTCGAATTCGGTAAGGAGATCTTGAAGGTTGTTCCAGGAAAGGTTTCAACTGAGGTTGATGCTCGTTTCTCTTTCGATACCAAGGCCACCATCAACAAGGCCCTCAGAATTATCGACGTAAGTTACATACCCATTCATATCCCGTCATTGAGACGAATGTACCTCCATTACAATGAGTTTGATACTGACATGTGTGTTTCATTTAGCTTTACAAGGAGCAAGGTATCGATAAGTCCCGCATTTTGATTAAGATTGCGTCCACCTGGGAAGGTATCCAAGCCGCCCGTGTCCTCCAACGCGACCACGGAATCAACTGCAACCTTACTCTCCTCTTCTCCAAATCCCAAGCAGTTGCCTGTGCCGAAGCTGGTGCTTTCCTCATCTCTCCATTCGTGGGCCGTATCCTCGATTGGTACAAGGCCTCCACCGGAAAGACCTACTCCGCCCAAGAAGACCCAGGTGTGGAGTCCGTTAAGGCGATCTTCGACTACTACAAGAAGTACGGATACAAGACCATTGTTATGGGAGCTTCTTTCCGTAACGTTGGTGAAATCACTGAGCTTGCTGGATGTGATTACCTCACCATCTCACCAAACTTGCTGGAGGAGTTGATGAACTCCGAAGAGGCCGTCCCCAAGAAGTTGATCGCTGAGAACGCTAGCAGCTTGGATATCGAGAAGTTGACCTACATTGATGATGAGGCCGAGTTCAGATTTGCATTCAACGAGGATGCTATGGCTGTGGAGAAGTTGAGAGAGGGTATCAGCAAGTTTGCTGCTGATGCCGTCACCTTGAAAGATATCTTGAAGGCTAAGTTGCAATAAATTGCTTTTGAGTCTCGGGGTTCGGTGCATGATTTTATAGTTATTGATTATCACGGAGGTCAAAATTGAAAGACCGGATGCACTACGATTTGTATTTACGCGTGGCCAGACATGAATCTAAACAAATGAAACGATTTGATGATTAATTGATTATTCTCACTGCTTGCTATGATGCGAAATGGTATTGTGGGCTAATGTCGGATTGAAATTGAGTCGTTCTGGAAGGTATGTGGGCATGGTCACTTGGTCTTGATTTTTGAGATGTGTACTCGAGTATATTGTCTGTTGTAAATTGTGAGTGGTGTTCACAGCGAAATTGTATGGGGATATTGAAGATGTATTCCAACATTTCTTTCTTAGCATTAGACGATCGATTACCCAAACTATGAAAACCCATCCAGCGTCCACGTGTTCTTGTATGTAGCAACCCGCTTTGGGATGGAGTTGCATACAAGTGGGACGCATATAAAGTTTGAGAATAATTGAGACTGATCATGGTCAAACCGAATTATTAATATAATCATTTGAGCATCATCCAGACGAGACATCTTCGTATCTGAGATACGATTCGATGTTGAGATTTGGGTAATGAAGATTGGTTCATAATTTGTAATATCTTACAGTTCCGACGAATGTCAAGGGTGATTGGATGAAATTTCAGTTCCGAAAATAGGGGTATCGATACCCATCTCACTCGATCAACCACAATATCTAACCCAGCTATGGGAAGTATTAACGCACTGGGGGATGGAAAGAAATACGAAGAACGGGCGATAGAAATAGAATGGGAGAGGAATAAATTGTATATTCATTTGGCGGCGAGAAATAATCCGGGGACGTTTCATTGGAGTCTGTATTTGACGGAGGAGCAACCGGAGAGGGGATGGGTGTATCATGTTTTTGACCCGGTGCCGGATAGGTGGGTTTTGGAGATGCTGGGGGGAGATGCTGGGGAGGAAAGGGTGATGGAGAAGGGGGATAGAGATGGTGGTTGGGGTGGAGATAGTAGTGAGGACTCTGAATCACCAGGCCAGGAGTCCGGGGAAGATGGCGACCAGCACATAATTGCGCCTGAAGGGGAAAGCAACGAAGGACGTGAGGATGTGAAAGAAATCAAGAAGAAGTATGAAGAGAAACGAAAGCGAGAGTCGGGAGATACAGGGCATCGCAGCGATGGAATAAGCGATGAAGATGAGCGGTTGGAAAGTGATAAGAGTGTGAAAGAAAAAGAAGAGGAGAGGAAACATAAGAGGAATAAGACGGACAATGAGGAAAATCAAGAAAGGGATCACGGCTCATATGATCTAGAGGATCCTCGCAACAGCAAGAACCACGATACAAAAGACAACAACCACACATTCCTCACGTCATCCTCTCTCCTCGCCGCCATTGAAATCGGAACCGACATCCAAGACATGCGATCGATCATCGAAGAAACGATATCCACCGAATGGGAGACGGGGAGGAAGAAGATTGCAAAAGGGGAGAAAATCTGTCGAGAGTTTTTGTTGAAATGTGTTGAGGAGCTGGAATCGGTGGGAGTGTTGAGTTTTAGGGAGGGGAAGGGGATTGTGGATGTAGAGAGAGAAGCGGAGGAGTTTGGGTTGTTGAGTGATCCGGCTTTGAATGTGGCGGCGAGGAGGGGGAGAGTGTGGAAGAGTAGGGTTGTGGAGTGAGGTGGGGGAGGGAGTTGAGGGGGGGGGGGACACAGAGAGGTGGCGCAGTTACTGAAATATTCTTACATAAAAAGATGTAATGACCAGTGGAACCTTCCAGCTCTAGTGACCCGAGGAACGAGAGGAAGAAACAATTTCACTGTTCAAGGAATCAACAACCGAGCACAAGGCGAGCGAAAAGTTATGGCTAATGTTGGGAAGTATGGGAGTATTATGATGTTGGCAGTATGCAGTTTTGGCTCAACATAGACATCACTGTGTCATTTTTGATGGGCGTAAAGAAGGAGCGAATCTAGGGGCTAGTTTGGATACACAATTCCGATCAGATTCCATTGAATAATCCCTTCGTTTTGACAACGGATTTCGTATTTCGATTTGAATATAAAACAACTTCAAATGAGGGATTTTGTATAATTTTTTACAAATCAATAGAACATTTTATGGATTTTCTAAAACCATAAATTTAATCCGTACTTCAATTCATATTTTTAATCAATTTAAATAGGAAAATAGAAAATACAGATCGAAAATAATAATCCGAAAAAGTAATTTATTGTTTTTAATTATTTGAACAATCCGCGGATTTATAGGTTCTTATAGGCTTCTATAGTCAAAAACTTTAAACTTCTTTAAATTAGAAGTTAGATTTTAATTAAATAAAATACTATCCTTATATTTGTTTTAGTCGAATTGAAGTTATTCCTACATTCGCTTAGTCAATTATTCAAATGATGACAGCAAGCTTAGAATATGTTTGTATATTGAAAAGTTGAATTGATTTTATCTAAAGTATTTATATGTATTATATATGTATTTTACTTTCTTTCATTTCTATGGATTTTATATTAAAATCGATAAACAAAAAAAAAAGGAAATATAAGAATTTGGGGGTTTAAAGACGGAAAAGTGCTACCACGGAATCTGTTGTGATAGGAAAAAGCAGAGAATTCGGTGAATTCTGATTGGAATTGATATCCAAACTAGCCCTAGTGCCTGAAAAAGAGGCATGGAGTCATATTCTAATGCACACATGAATGTTGGATCATACAGGTATAGCCTATTACACATCTTATTTAACTTGCTCCTACCTGCACATATAATCCTGGATCCAATACCATGGACCAAATCCCTGCATACAACAACATGGCACAAGCAGTGCAAACGATATCTAGTACGCCTTCTTCGATTTCCAAATCACAGCAGGCCTTGCGTCCGCGTTAAGCGCGGGATCACTAAGTAGCCCCAGCTTTTTCACTTCTGCTACCAGCGGATCTATGCCATCAACCAGGGTCAAAATACCCTGCTCGTCCATCTCCTTGATGCAATTCAGCAGAAAAGGTTCGCACCTCATGTCTTTGGGCGGATTAATCTCTTCAATTTTCCATGCCGAATGAATGGCGTCTTCGATATGTTGTTTCGTACCAGTGATGTTATCGCTAATCTCGATGGCGGTCAAGATATGTTTGGAAGTCATGATATTGGCGGTGGGTCGTGGATCGTATATCTATACGCTGTTGCTAGGGGCATTGATGATGTGATAGATATGTCCCTTTGTAGGATCATCTTCTGTGAGATAAAGGCCCTAGTGAAAAGTTCCTGGGTTGTCTCGGCTTGTAAGAAGGAGATAGAGTTTATGTGGTTGCCAGGATAACGCCATTGTAAGAATGTGTCTACAGAGATATACGCGTGTAGATCAAGACTGAAATTTGGAATAGTATGTGGCGATACAATAGTATTCTGATATAGATGTGATATTAACCATATAGACTAGCTTCAAAATGTATAATAATATGATGGTATGATAGTATTTGGAGATGAATATAATGTGGATGATGAGGGATAGCTCTAATGTATCAGTCGTAGATAGCAAATGCTCTGGTCTCGAGTGAATTAATGATGTTGAAAGATTGGAGCGACAGCGTCTCTTCATATACTCAAATATCTTTCCAAGAATAATGACCCAAGTTGTGGAAACTTTTACAACACAGCTCAGCTAACGCACTCGCACAAGCCCATTGGGTACCCTCAACCTAAAGAAACAGACCCGGCGGGAATACAAAATATAACAATTATCACCCCGAATAACATTGAGGCAGAGTCATATAGACCGCTTTGGATGCATGGTAACTGGCTATAACAAGTGCAGTAAATCTGATGAAGTAGCAATGAATGACGCCCATAGGCGTTCTGGCAGGCACACTACGGCCACCTCCTCCAGTCATCCACATGCAAATGAAGACTCTTGACACATCTTCAGGGATATAACACTTAGACTAGGATATCATACAAAGTGTAAAGTACCGACAGTATGGTTGCGGCCCACACTTGTATAGATGTTGGTGTTACCAGAAGAAAGAAAGGGAGGGTTTTGGGGGGGCAATGCGATGCGGAGAGTCACGTGATTTAACGCAGCGCTTAAGACAAGTTGCGAGCTTCTATATACACCCTCCTCATTGACTTGCAAAAGGTTTGGCCACAACACCTATATTTTCTTCGGCTTTTCTGGCTTATGATGGAAGATGTGCTGAAAATTATTGCCACCTCTGACCTGCCTCGTCACGATCGAGAGATTCTTTTTTGCTTCATTAAAGATGCTTCTGAACCCGAGCGCGCATGCCAGTATATACATGAGCAGTGCGGGGATGGAGGGCTGTTTAAGCTAGAGAGCATAGTATCTCTCTGGAAACAAGTTGTTACCAAAGGCGAGTCCTGGTCATGGAATTATAATAGGATTTCAAAATCCCATGTTAATTATTATCAGTTCTCCAACCTACACTATCTTCTGATCGTGTCACGTCTGCATTGTCTACGAGAGAAGGCTATAGATGTCGTATCACACAATAGCCTTCACGGTATCTGGGCGAAAAGTTGGAGGCTGTGAGTATTGTCTCACCAGCACTATTAGTTGGGGCTCTTAATGTAAACGAGGTTTGTACAGTACCCACCGTAGGATTGCTCTTGTCATTCTCATTTTGATTCTGTTTTTTTAGAACGCCATGCTTCTTGCATTTCTGGGGCCAGAAATTCTAGAAAGTCTCCGAGTACTACTCAATAGAACATACAATAACCAAACCAAGGATGAAGAATATCCTGAGCTTCAGAATATGTTCTTAGCGACCCAGAGCATGAAGGAAGCTTTTCACAAGGCGCATTATGCATTTTTCCCATACCTGAAACTTTGCTGGAAACCAAAGGATCTTCAAGTGGATCCGAAAATTCCTAATTCCATTGATGTGAGTATACTGTAACCTTTTTTATCTTTCGCGCGACATCCCCATACTGATGATACTCACACCGAAGTATGGAATTCTACCCCGACAACGTGAGCCCGCGTGTCGAGACAAGTTAACCAGTCATTACATCACATTCGCTACCCCATCTAACAGTCTTCCTTTACCCCATCCGTTGTTACTAGGTACACATTCATGACTGTCTAAATCACGTTCCTGGATGGACTCGGCCGAACAGAGGGCTCATGTCCGCTCGAATCGAAATATCATCTATAGTCGCATATGCCAATGGACCTCTTCAGCTTTCACTCACATAATTAAACTATTTCCCTATCTTACCCCTGGGGGTTTTGGAATCTACTGTTATCGAACACTCAGTCGTCTCTCTTCGAACCTATTCGCACCGCAAGGGATAGTCCAGCGTGTTCCCGGCGGGATTGTCATCAAACGCGGTTCCCGGGTATCATCCAATGAAATCTCCGCCCTCCAACCTCTAGATTTCGTAACAGATTCCAAAGATGGCCATTCATATCTCATTACGACTCATATCCCGGGCCAACCCTTTCGTTCCGTCTGTGATCTCATGACCGATTCAGACCTCTCCAATTTCATTCACGATCTCCGCACCATCCTCACCGAGATGCGCAAAATACACAATCCCCACGGCCTCCAAGCTGAAGTCAGACTTTGTGGCGCCAAAGGTAATACCCCCTGTCACGACTTCCGACTCGGAGATTCCTGCGGTCCCTTTCCTACCCTCGATTCTTTCCAACAGCATCTCCGCACCAACGCCTACGTGTCTTCTCCCCCCAACCCCACCACCGACCTCGACGTCCCGACTCAAAAATGTCTCCTCGTCCATACTCCCCCTCGCTCCATCTTCTTCGCCCACGGTGATCCCAATCTCAACAATATTCTCATCAATCCGTTCTCCTTCCGCATCAGCGAACTCGTAGATTGGTAATGCGCGGGATTCTACCCCGATTATTGGGAGAAGACTAAATCGCTGTATAGTATGCCGGGCGATGCTTTCTGGAAATCGCTTTTGCAGCGTGTGATACCTGGGTTTGAGGAGGAGGTGAAGACGAAGATATGGCTATGGGATCGCTCCGATCCATTTTGAGATGGGGTGCGGAGTAGGCATGGAAGGGGAAATTTGAAAGAGGGGGAAGCGAGAACCGGAGTGAGACAAACAAGCTAATGATGCAATCTTATTTTCATACGGCAGATTAGTCTCATGTCTCTCAAACATCATTTCATGACTCTTATGCCCTAAGAATCTCACTTGTTTTACTTTCATAGCCCTTGGATTCTATAATAGATTGTAATTTATGATGTCTAAAATCAAGAAAAGAAATGCGTAAACTCAAAGGAAAAGTAGTAGTATACCTATAAAATCTATCTTAAAATAGTTAGAATCTATATTCCCTCTACAAAAGTCAGTCTATCATAAATAGAATCTATTCTCTCTCTACAAAATCAGTTCTCTCCTTATATAAGCAAACGACCCTGATTAATTTACCTATATTCAATCTTATCTCCGGATTCCCCCTCCCCTCCAGAATACCCATTCTAAATCCCCACACTACTCAAACTATCATCCCTTCTCCCCCAACCATCCCTCCCCTCCCCTCCTCCATCTCCATCTCCACCCTTCCCCTCCACCTCCCACAAACACTCCCCCAACCCCTCTCCAAAAAATCCCATCATGTTAACGAAACAACAACAACATCACACATAAATCCACACAAAGTATACCTAAATACCAACTAGTCAACACCACCACGAAATTAACCTATCCATCTAGACTCTCTAGACGACTTGCTAAACATAATTCCTAAAACCCTCCATCCATTCCATCACGAGAGAGAGAATCTTCAAAGAGCAGCCAGCAACTAAACTAAACTAAACTAATACAAATTAGTACATATAACGTAGTTCATTAGTATATAAGTCATATCACTATATAGATTACTTTGTTATTTTATATATAAAATTCATTTATATGTAATCACATACTATCTTTATTTTTCAATTAAAAAATTAAATAATTCAGTCATTTCAATTTTAGAAAACGGATTTTTAAAATATTTCAAAAACTTGATTTTATTTAGTAAGTAATTATTCACTAAAAAAATAGTGTTTTTTTTATCACAACAAAAATCATAACAAAATCTACTTTTTATTAAGAAAAGAAAATATATATATAAAGAACAACCCTTTAAAAAGCTTATATTGAAATATTATTTAATATAATTTTGAATCATTTTTCAAAAAATAATGATTAGTTTTCAAAATTTGATTATCCAAAAAAAAGCTCGATTTCAGTACATTTTAAAGTAGCCTACAAAATGATATAACCTATATGCTAATGAACCACGTTATATCTATTCATTGATCTTGTTACATACTACTTACTCAACCTCAACTACACGAGCAGAATGGATGTACACTACTCTTTATCTATTTACCAGAATTTATCCGAAAAGATGAGTTTATTTTCAGATGGTACTACGTCTTGTGATATCATCCTCAGACTTTCAAGGCTATCTATCCCCGGGATTTTAGATCCAAAGAGATGAAAACAAATACAGTAAAGAGTATTAAAACATAAAAGCAGAATCTAGGATAAATCTCATCATCAATCGATCGATAATTTCTAGAAAAACGGCAGCTACAACTGGTGGTATGGTATTATATGCACATAAAAAACTTTCCTCCCCCCCCCCCCGTGCCATCTATCCCTTCCCTCCTATTAGACCCATCTCCTTTTGTCCAGTAGTCAGAGTCAAGACTCGCCTGCCCAACCATTCATTTATATCATTAACGATCAGGGTTTGGTCTTCTCCTACCCATTCCTTAATCCCCGAGCCAACCTCTCCATTCGTTCGCAGGCTTATACACTAGCTCACACCCTTGTCACCTATTCCATATGCCCCTCATTAAGCACCATCTCCAGCACTATCTGGTTCCCCACAATTTCCGGATGTGCCATTGCCAACTTCAACGTCCTATTCATAGCCCCTCCCGCGCCACCCATCGGATTCATAGTAGCCATAGAATTTGCTCCCGCTCCCTGAGGGTTTGTACCCGCATCAAGACATCTTACATCACTACCAGCAATAACCTGTCTCAATCTACCATTCTCTGCATTTCTCACTTCGACAAAATCGCTATCGAAGAGTACTAAATATGCACCATACATAGCTGCCGTTTTAGCTCTTCCTACGAATTCCATTATGACGGATCGAGATACTTCGCCATGTTTATCGACATAGACACCACATTCCGCATAACATAGAAGGAATTCAGCATCAGAAAGCCTGAACATACCTAGAGGTCTTTGACCTTGGAGTCGAGCGGCTATGGATGCAATATTTTGATTTTTGGTATCTGGGATACTCATTGGTACTTTTTTGTCGAGAGTCAAGAGTTCAAATCCTTTTTGAGTCGAGATGGCAATGTAAGATTGGAAGAGATTTATGGTGAAACATTCGGTTGGAATATAAAATTCGTCGAATTCACGGAAAAACTCGGTATTGCCACCGAAACGTTTACCAAAAAGACGAGACTTTTTCTCTGAGGATTTTTGAACAACTGGCTCAAGGACTTTGAAGACGGAGTGAAGACTCTCCTTTTTCTTGTAGAAGACTAGGGTTCTTTCTTTCATACGAGCTGTAGCGAAGAATGATACGTCGCGAGCGCCTGAGAGCTTTTGAGGTGCTCGTCGGGATGAATCTGTGTTTGTCCCAGGAAAGTTCGAAGCAGGAATGATTACATCGAGATGATATGCAACAAGAGATTTGTCGGCAATGATAATGCACAGCGAGAAATCTTCAAGAATGGCGATTTGTGTAACTTTGGGCATTTGAATAGTCTATCAGAATTAGCTTGACGTTTCTTGGAATTGGTATCATGTTGTGCTTACTCTTGACCATCCTCGAGGATTCGATGCCTCAGAGATATAGACCCCATAATCTGTTCCAATGGCAATCAAAAGTTTCCCATATGACATAAACGACACCGCGCAATTTACCTGAGCTCTGCATACCGGAGACGGTCGAGGTTTTGATCCATAACTGTGTTCCATATCCCTGACAGCTCTATCTAGTGGTGTACCAGAAATTGAAATTAGAGCTCTTTGCTGATAGATCGTGGAGTTGTCATAAGCAAAAGCACTATCAGCAACAACTTTGAGACGGAAAGGCTCAGCGTTTTGTGCAAAAAGAGCCGCTGCATAACGTGTTTTTGCTTCAATAATTTTATCACACCACTTGTCTCGGTTTGTGGCCGATGGAGCATATAGAGTATAAACCTCGGCTTTGCCCAGATGCTTGATACGGAATGGATACATGACCTTTGCATCGTTATCATTCAAATTATTCGAATTAAGTCTTGTCACAGAAGCTGTGGTTGGGACTGAATTGTTAGAGTTCGTATGCTCTAATGTTTGCATTCGCTCAAGGCCAGTAGTAGCGTTCGTGGCAGTACGCATTAACCTTGCTTCAGCAGCATTTGCTGGGGCAGTCTTGGCGACAGTTGTCGTGACGGCTCCAATACCTTTCACAGCGGATTTCTGCACTGGATCGTCGTCACTGCTCTCGAGAACTAAAAGCTGCATGGGAATGGGCTAGAATACATGTCAGCAATATCACGTGACTGGAGTTTAGTCAACACTCACAAGTTTTGATACATCATAAACTTCCTTCTTCCGCAGACCATTCGCATCTCGTTGAATAACACTCTTGGCCAAAACAAAGTAATGATCAAAGAGGATAGCATGAGTTTCCAACCAGGTGAATCGATTATTACCTGCGCGCTGTAAATCTCCTCTATGGAGGAGCTCACGGCCTAGATGATCCAGGTTAAGCTCAACACGCTCCATGCCAGGGCGAAGATACAGCTTCGACTGGAGCTCAATCATATCAACTTTTCTACTCTGTTCCTCAACCTTAGCATCACACTCTAGGGTGACTGCTTTGATTTCTTCAATGGCTATCGCTAGAGTTGCTTTCTCGTCGCTATCTTTAGTCATGTTTTTGAGAACAGTGCCAAGGAGGAGACCATAGCGCTGCAACCTTGTGATTGGGGCTTTTAAATATGTGTTCCAGTCTAGACGACCGGAGAGCTTGTTGTCTCGAGCTTGGTCTAGAAATTGGCGGAAGAGAATGTTTCTGTCTGCTTCTCTTCGAACAAGATAAGTGGCGTATGGGAACCCAGCAGCATATTCGATATATGCAGACTTGGCCTTCCTTATCCATTCTCTGAAAATGTCGCTGAAGCCTGTCACCCAAGGCCCTTGCTCTTTTTGTCTATACTTTAATTGTGCAAGTAGATGGTTTTCATTGACATCTTTAATGGCTTCGACTTTCCCGAAAACTGAAGCAACAAATTTCGTGATCTTCGTTTTTGCGATAATGGGAGGTTGCCACGAGGCAAGATTGTCTCGATATAATATGCGTAACACATTAATCTGATCCATGTAGATATCCTCCGACATGACTATCTCATGAAGGTTATTCTGCAACTCAATCTCTTTCTTGGTTACGCCCCCAAGGATTTCCTTTGTTAGTTTAAAGAAAGTTATCCAGTCCTCGGACTTTCTAGATGGTTCCAGAGTTTGGGACTGTAAGTTGATCTTCTTCAGTGTGCGAGTACAATGATGTGAGTAACATCGTCCTTCGATTTCATGTTCATGAACCTTTGGCGCATAGCATCCTGATCCTGTCAATTGCCATAATACACCGGATACTTCCCCTTGACCAAATTTGACCCATTCTTCATCTTTCACCAAAATCCCAGCATCGAACATAGACTTCACGACTTTCTCACTAAGGGTTTCTGCATCAGCCGTGTTCATGGTTGGTACCATGTGGGTAAACAGAGCTATAAGGCCATCTTCGATAGTCTTCACTCGGAGATCTGATTCGCCTTCTCCCGTCTCCCCGCCAGCCATCTCTCGTATCCAATCTGCAATTCCGCTCAAAGCCCATGGCTCCGCACACCTGCGGAATTCGGCTGTTGATAACCTTCCAGGTGAAAACTTCTTACGACGGCCGGCTGGCAAGGCGGGTAGATCAAGCGACCCTAAAGACGCTGGAGTGGATGCATCATAGCCATCTA